ACGATAAAATTCGAATTGTTCTTAATAAAGCAGACATGATAGATCATCAACAACTTATGAGAGTATATGGTGCACTTATGTGGTCTTTGGGAAAAGTTTTACAAACTCCTGAAGTTGCTAGAGTCTATATTGGTTCATTTTGGGATCAACCATTAAGATATGATGTTAATAGACGGTATGATTTTTCTTTTTATCTTATTGATCTTTTTCTTTATCTTAGTAGGTTTATTTGTTTTAAGTGTGTGATTGATTTTCTTTTCAGATTATTTGAAGACGAAGAGCAAGATTTATTTAGAGATATGCAATCATTACCAAGAAATGCTGCATTAAGAAAACTTAACGATTTAATCAAACGAGCACGATTAGCAAAGGTATAAAATAATTAATATTATTTAATAAGAATATGTTTTCTTAAGTTTTGTTGTAATAGACTCAATGATGTTTCCTGAATTACAGGTACATGCATACATAATCAGTGCATTGAGAAAAGATATGCCAAGTATGTTTGGTAAAGATTCGAAAAAGAAAGAACTTATCAAAAATTTAGGCCAAATTTATGATCAAATTCAACGTGAACAACAAATATCTCCTGGAGATTTTCCAAATCTTAAGAAAATGCAGGAATCTTTAATGCATCATGACTTCAGTAAATTTAATCCAATTAAAATCAAATTATTGGAAGTAGTTGATAAAATGCTTGCGGAAGATATTGCTAAATTAATGGCTATGATTCCTCACGAAGAAGTAACCACTGCATCAGAACCATTAATAAAAGGTATTCATTTAAGAAATATTTCATTGATTATAAAATTAAATTAAAATTTATACAAGGAGTAATTTTAAATAGAAATTATTCAATTAAAATAAAAAATCAATGATCAATCTATCATATCAATACTAGAAATAGAAGATTACTTAATTTCATATCTTATCTTAAATGATTTCGTTTTCATGAATCGTCTATAAAGATATATATGAGATTTATGATACAATTTTATAAGAAAATAATGAATCTAATTATCTACATTAAAATAATTATATTTCAAATCCACATGATAGAAAATATTTATGATTTGAAAAATAGGAATTAAATGAATTCATTTTTTATACAGAACGTGAATATTTTATCTGCACAGGTGGTGCATTTGAAGGTGTGGAAGATCAAATTAGTCCATTTGGATACAAAAGAGGTGAAGGTATCGATGCAGGTGCTGGTGAACCCGAATGGATTGTTAATAAAGATAGATACAAATATGATAGTATTTTTGAAACACTTGGTCCAACTGATGGAAAGATAACAGGAGCAGGTAAATTTATTTTTATCTTTTTCTTATGTCATTTTGTTGACATATCGTAATATGCGATTATATTCGATTATAATTATTATAATATTACAATATGATAACTCTATATCTATTCTCATCTTAAACTTTATTTACAGCTGCTAAATCTGAGATGATTAAATCCAAATTACCGAATAGTATGTTAGGAAAAATTTGGAAATTATCCGACATTGATAAAGATGGCCTTTTGGACTCGGATGAATTTGCTTTGGCAATGCATTTAATTAACGTTAAATTAGAAGGTTACGACCTTCCAGCGGAACTTCCTGATCATTTAATACCACCTTCTAAACGAGATATTTAAATTATGATAAAATTATAAACGGCACTTTACTGGTATGTACTTCCTTTCGTTTTTTTTTTTTTTTCTTATTATTATTGTAGTTCAAATATTTCTTTACAAATTATTATCATTGAAATCGTTAAATTATATTAATTATACGGATAAATAAATTACAGATTATTGTGCTTGCTTCTCGATGATTATAAAGAATATTTACATATTTGTAAAAAGATGTGATACAGAGCTTAACTGTAAATGATAATATACAAGATGATAACTGAGATTTGTCAGTATGTATCGAAGATAATAAAATAGGAAATAATAATAAATTATTTCTAATTAAATATGAGCATAATATAAACGAAAAGAAAAAGAAAGAAAAGATTATTTCAATGATTTATCGTAAATTAAATTAAATGAAAATTGTCATCAAATAATTATAATGAAAGTACAATGTATATATATATATATATATATATATATATATATATATGTATACATAAAAATGACAGAACATGTTCAATTATATATTTCATTTTTACAAACTATATAGTGTGCAATTTCAAAATTTTTATACATCACATTAATAATGTAACAATATTACTATATTATTTTTAAAATTTCTTACATTTTTAAATGCTCTATTTAATAATTTCTTATAATCATATAGTCATATTGAAATGCATAATAATTTAAAGTACTATGATAAACGACAAATTATTTAGAAAATAGCAGTAGCACATTTTCACGTTAATGTGAAATATGCTACTTTATTTGTATATTTTTAAGCATTGTTATATTATATGTGAAAAAAATTATATATTTATTATACATAATACGCACATGTGCTTATAAAAAAAAAAAAAAAAAAAAAAAAAAGAAAAAGAAACAATATAAAATAAAATTTCTACACTATTGTTACAAATATTTGGAACATTTTTGTAGTATACTTTAATAAAAATGCGCTGAATGTTTTTAAAATGTTAAGAAAGCAATAAAAACTTACATATGTATTTATTTTCAATGTTAAATATTTATACAAAAACAAAATATCAATGAAATTTTTTTAAATTTCTATTCAAAAATTTATCTTTGTATATTAAGTATAATTAAATTTAAGTTAAATATTTTAAAAACATTTTGCGCGCGTGTGCGAGTAGAAAAGACAGTAATCGAAGGAAAGGAAATATGATGTATGTATATATATATATACAGTATAAAATCTAAAAATAAAAAGCAAACTGACCAAACAACGGTATTAACATGCAAAAGAAATCGAGATATTTAGAAAAAATCTATAAAAACACATAAGTATTTCCTTTCTATCTTTCTCACTCTCTCATTTTTTAAGTTACTATTTATAGATGTATACGATGTGGTATACCAATACTACATAAATATCTAATCGTAAATATAATCACTGCTTGTAGCAGATAATAGCAATTTTTCGATAGAATTTTCTCTACAAAACTCTTATAACTTGCTATTGCCATTCACTTATTATTATTTATGTATTTATGCATTTATCCATTTATCCATATATATATAACTTATATTTTGCACTGCACATTTATTAATTGCTACAAAATTAAAATTTGATGTTTCAAAAAAAGTTTGAATATACGTTTACCTAAAACAATTATTTTTTTACTTTATCTATATTTAATTGAATCACAAAATTTTTCAAACAAAAATAAATTAATAATAAATTAAAACGTTCGCATATAAAATTATATTATTAAAATTACCTTTAATGCAATTTATCTATAAACATAAATTTGTGTTTTACAACACCAACCAAAGATGATGTGACATTAAGACTGTAAAAATCAGTTCAAAAAAAAGAATAATAATAATAATACGACTTATTCATGAAATATTTATCTATATTATTTTTTAATTTAATTGAAAATATTCAAATTGAAAATATTATTTTTTCTGCTATTTATATTTTTATATTCATCAAAGCTTGTATATATATAAATATATATATATATATATATATANATATATATATATATATATATATATATATATATACATACACACACATCACTATACGTGATGTCCTTATGTTTACACTGCCTATGCGTTAATTAATTTAATGTAATATATATATTATAAAACATAGTAATTGAATAGATTTATTATGATGGACACAAACATGATTTGAAAGAATTTGAAACATTGAATGATCAAAAATAGAATATTCTTATAATACACATTCCACACCACACAGATAAAAATGTGTCCAATTTATTTTTGTTTAGAACAAATCTTATGTTTGGCACGATTTAATTTAAATAGATTTCTATTAGTTGATTCTCTTTTTGTTAATATAAATTTAGAAAATGAAAACAACGATTTAAGAAAAGAAACAATTCTTATGCTAAATCGCCGAAAGTGTCTTATTTTTCATTCGAGTATTTACTTTTATAAAATATAGTGTGTCTATCCTAATATTAATAATCTTGTATATGTATTTAAAATGTGCAATAAACGGCACTGTACAAAATATAAGTAAACTTCTCATATATAAAATAAGATGAATTATCCAAATATAATTAATAATATTAAAGATTTATATGTATATGTATGCCACATATATGTATTCATAAATTTATATATTATTAGACAAAACTGTCGTTTATTTTCATTGAAGAATATTTTATTACTTTTTCATCTTTCCTCTTTTTCCTTTTATCTTATGAATTTATATAATTTATTATTTATTATTATAATTGTCTAAAAAATAAAAAAGAGAATAATTTATTCTATATTTTGATAAAATTGATTTTTATGAGAGAACATAATTATTTTTTGTCTATTGTTCTACATAGGATGTCTGAGATTTTACTAGTCAAACGATGTCAACGTATTTTATATACAAAAATAAAAATTCTCAGATATCCTGTTTAATAAAATCAATGAAATATTTCTTAAAAGAGAGCTAATGAATTAATACTAAGATGTAAAAACAGTTTATTCATTATCACAGTAAAGATATATATATATATATATAAAATATTTAAATATAAATGCATCATTGAGTATACGAGTACTTCATAAAAGGGAAGTTAAATTGCATTGTAAATAGTACTCATTAAATTATAGACACGTATACATAAGACAGGCATACAATTATTAAATGTACTACTTACATTGGTCTACAATGTGTTTGGTAATATTATTACTATTTAAAAAAATAGAAAATATTTTTTTTTATAAAAATGCATTTAAAAAAATGCTAGATCTAAATTAGATGAGATTTCAAATGTTACATCATTCGTAAAAAGAATTATGAAATAATTTTTGTTATTTATCGCGATGTAATTTACTTTTTGTTTTTCTTTTATCGATTATACACGATTCATATTATATTTATAACTTATCGTTATAATTCGTCGCGTTTATTCTTCTTTTTAGAATTTAAATAATTCGACAATTGTTCTTTAATCATTTCAGATGACGTTGCATTAATTTGAAAACCTTTATCGATATCTTTTATATCGTGCTTTTTATCGTAAAGAAATAATATCGGATATTTTTTAATTGCTGCCATATGATAAAGCTCGCAATTAAATTTTCCAAAATTTATCTTGTTGCTAAATAACTGTAAAGAAAACAAATACATTTTTTAAAATGAACCTTCTTTCCACACATATTATAGAATCTATAAAATAATAATAATAATAATATAATATAATAATATATACAAAAATATTACGATATGTGAATCCTAAATTATACCTGTGCGGCGATTGAAATATGTGGATCCAGTGTTTGACAATGATCGCACCAAGGTACATAAAAATCAACCAACCACACATCCTTTCCAGAAAATACTTTCTTCTGTAAACTGTTTGGATCCAAATCGTACACTTTAGTTGGAAGATATTTAGAAATCCATTTTAATATATACCACATTTTATGTGGTCCATCGTATTTACTACAATTAAAATATTTATTATTTATCATCCTTGAATATAACTTTAAAAGTGTACGATGAACATATTATGATACATCAAAACAAAATTGCTTACACTTACATAGCTTTGTCTAAATTTTTACGGTCTCTTGGATACAATCGTATATTAGGATAACTTTCCACTTTTTGCAATCTGCATAAATAATTTTCTACTTCGCAATCAACAGTGGCTACTTTAACGAATGGCAGAATATTTAAAATTTTAGCAACAGCAAACCATTCCGGTTTTAAATTTTGACAAGGTGAGCACCAACCAACAAAATAATTAACTATCCATATAGTTTTATCTTTATCCTTTTCAAGATATTGATTGAAATTGTTGGCAGATAATTGTATAACTAAGTACAAAATAATATACAAATTAAAAATATGAATATACGTGTTCCTTGATATAATATATTAAAAGTACTATACTTTATAATGTATTTTTTACCTGACGAGTATCTTATGTCATTTATAAATCGTATTACATTAGCAGCTGTTTTTGGTGATGTAAATTGATATGTTTTAGTACCATTAATGAGCATTGCAGTTGGATAAGAACGTATATTGTTTTTTCGACAAATCGAAGAATGCACGGTGCAATCAATCGTACCAAAATGTACAACCGATTTATCGAATTGCATAGATGCTTCACGAAGTTCTGGCAAAAACTGCATACAAGGAGGACACCATGGTGCATACCAATCTAAAAACCATACTTCTTTATCTGAAATAAAATAAATAAAACATCAAAATATGTATTTTATTATTACTGTTTAATTTTGAAATATAATTTACCACTATTTCCTTGTAATATTGATAATACTTTATCGGCAGATAAGGCCCATAGATTTTTAGCTTTAACACTACTTCTAGCAAACTTAGCAATATCATGAATTGTATTTTTTCCATGACTTAATTCAAAAGCTCCTCCAGGTTTAAGAACACCCCACATTGGATATCTGTTCACGTCTAATGTGTTGCAAAGATATCCGTACCTTCCACAATTAATTTTACCTACGAATTATAAATATATTAAATATAAGTATTAAATTAGTTAAAGAAATCAATTGATATATACAATAAGGAATACCTAGATTAATATTATTAATAACATTAGGAAGTTTCTTAAGTATTAAATCTAATTCAGTTGAATGTCCCATATAAAAACATACGAGCCAACCTATCCCTGATTCTTCTCTAAGCTCTCTTCTTATTTCCTATAAATACAAATGTTTTTAATTTATTACTTAAAATTATATTTATATCAAATTTTAATACCTCAAATTCTTGATCAGTAAGTCTCTTTGGTTCTGGAAATTGTTCTAAAACTTGTTCTATTAAATCTTTGACTGTTTCTATATTTTTCAAATATATGGGTACCCAAGTTTTTTGGTCACTTGTTGTTGGCAACAAAATCGCACAAGTGTTATCGGAAATATCATTGCATTCAGTTTCCTTGCAGTGAAGTAGTTGAATATTTAATGTTTTATCCTATAATAATAATAATAATAATAATAACATGTGTTATTACGAATTAATTATTTTCTATCAAATACACTTACAAAAATAGCAGCAACTTTAAGAAGATCATCGTATGGTAAACATTCTTCCTTATTTTTATAAGTAAATACAAGCATGGGTTTTTTAATGAGTTCATGATTTTTTATAAGACGTTTCCAATTAGACAAACTTATCTCAGGAATATTAATATTCAACTTATTTAATACAAAATCTTTAATTGCATTATGCGTTCTTTCTCCAGTATACTGTCTCTCATATGTTGAATTCTGAAATTGTTAGATATTTTATTATAAAAACTAGATGAGACTTATTATTAATGATTTAAAAACAGAATTTCAAAGTAAATACCTTTGCAATATAAAGTAAAGAAGGATACCCCGTTATACCAATTTCGTGACAAAGATGATAATCATCTTTGCAATTAACTGCCCCTACTTTTATAACTCCTTCAAACTCTTCTGCTAATTTACGCCAAATTGGTGCCAAATGATGGCAAAAGTTACACATCGGTGAGTAAAAATTCACCAACCACATTTTTTCCGAATTAAATACATTCTCAGCTGTATAAAATATAAAAATAAAATATAAATATAAAATATAAAATATAAAATATAAAATAAAAAAGATAATTAATCGTCAACTATTTATAAATAAAATTCAAATAAATTTGATATAACTTACAATAATCACTTCTGCTAAGAGTGACAACTTGTGGATCATCATCGTAAATTCCAAAATTATATTTGTAATAATTCCAGGAATGATAATTGACTTTCGCAGAACCTTCTTCTCCATAAAGATCATATTTTTTTCTTGATTCTGGATCCTTTAATACTTCATAAGCCGTTGTTAATTTAATAAATTTTTCATGTGCTTTTGGGTCATCCTAAAATAATAATAATAATAATACATTATTATTATATATATATATATATCTTATAATATAATAAAGAGAAATATATATTTTAATAAAATATTTGATAAATTACTTTGTTTTTATCAGGATGATAAGTAACAGCGATTGTTTTGAAAGCTTTACGAATTTCTCTTTGATCTGCACTTTTACTCACTCCGAGAAGATCATAATAATCATCAGCTAATGTTAAATAAATTATTGTTAGAAATATTATCGCAAATTTGATCCTAAAAAGAAAATATTTACTAATTAAAATAATTGTAATAATATAAAATTATCTAATAAATAATTAATATATTACAATTATAATATATAAGTGTGATTTAACTTAAGATAAATTCTATATATATTTTTGTATAATATAAATAATATATAGATAAGTAACTATAAATATATACATACATTTTAAACGAAATATTTTAAGTTGAACAATCAGACAAAATTACTTGTAAGATATAATTATCATTAATTTTCTTTGTAAAACTATACAAATAGATAACCAAACAAAATCATATCCTTCTTGCCATATTTGGAAATTCTCATAATCTTCTCACTAATGTAAAATGATGCAGATCTATAGAGGCTGTAACATACAAAATATATCTATACATACATATATTACATACACAATAGAAAGTAACATAACCTAAAAGTCTTAAAAGTACAGAACCTCAAATATTTGATAATACAAGAATATTAACAGAAATGAATTATTAATGAATTAAACTAACATATTTTTCGTTTCTAAAGTGAATTACTGTCAAATAAATATAATGTTATAATTAATAATTATCTATATCTTGAAATTAATTACAAGTAGTACCTTAATGCATTATTTCATTTATAAAATTATTTGACTATTTTATTCATAATGTTTTCAGGTACTGTTTATTGAATTAAATTAAAGTTAACAAGAATGTAATAAAATAGAATAAAAATAGAGAAAGATTCTTTAAGGATCTTTGATTTAAAAACCCCGCCGAAGATTATACTGAAGAACAAGTCTATGAACCAAAGTATGCAATGCACACTAATGATACCGAACATAACCTATTAATAACAACTCTGATTTGACACATTCTAGTGGCATATGGTTGTGAAATCAAAATGGTTTTTTTGGAAAATGATATGGTAATTTGTTAAATAAATGTATAACATTTCTTACAAATATTACATTGAAATTACTATTTTTCAGTTTTTAGTGGAGCTCACAAGGTTATTTGAAAAATCAAGACTATCTGGTTCTGTAACTTTAACTATTAAAAGGTGTAAGTATTTTTGAAGGTACACATTATTTCATTGATCATTATTTACTTTGAATTATCTTAATAATATAATTTATCTTCTAGAAAACAAATTGATTGGTTTGATCTTTATTCAAATAACTTTTCACACATGTTGATAATATTTTAAAGTCATTGCATTATTTAAGATTGAATAACATAATATAATTGTTACCACATAAAGTATACACCATGTTTAATCTATAGTTTTTAAATTGCAGTTAATGGACATAATAAACCAGTACCTAGAAAAGGAAGACCACCGTTATCAACACCAAGTGAATTTCTTTGCCTTGTTCGAGCTGCTTTTCGCAGCAAGAAAATCTCAACCGTTGTAAGTATCATTCTAAAATTACATAGATATATATAATTATTTGTAAAGAAGGTAATCTAAACTTGTATTGTTTTCAGATACATTCCAAAGACGTTAATAAATTCCAGCAAGCATATTGGAATCTTTTAAAAACAAATATAAATGGCCTTAAAAAATTAAAAAAAGTCAAATCAGCCAAACCTAAAGCTCATTAAAATAATCAATTGAAAAAGACTTTATACATTCATTAACTCTATTATAACAATTTTCCTAGCAATATAAATATACAAGTTTTTTTAATGTATAGCTAATAATAAGAAAAACAAGAAATAAAATACGTTTTATGTTGTACATGTGTTGTGTTGTTTCCATAATTTAAAGCCTTACTGATAAAATGTTACAGAGTGTTATACTTTATTCGATTATAATTAATGCAAAAACCATTTATCAACTACTATTGACAATCCAGAAAATATGAATACACCATTACTGTTTTGTCGATAAGACTGAAATCTGCTATTACCGATTAAGTTTTTAATAAATAAGAAACCTACTATTATTGATGGTTAGCAATATAGGAATCTGTCATTACCGACAGTTAGAGTAAAATATTCTGATAAAAAAACCAATATTTTATGAAGCAATTTCTTCACAGAAAATTGAATTGTTTAAAAAATTTGAAAATACGATTTCATCGCTTAAATCTTCATCTTTCAAATGAGATCTTGATCATTAAAATTGGTTAAAAGTTGTGCTTGAAATTATCATTTAACAATCGATTATTTTTGAATTATTCAAAAAAGATACATATATACATAAAATATAAAATATTTTTGGAAAAGAAAAATATACGATAGAAGTTTTCAAATTTATTTGCTATCCATCATTATTTCACATTTAACTATTAGAGCTCTTTAATATTATATTGTTTGAATGATATACATTTATTTGTGTATTAGATAGTCGCACACACATAATATATAATTTACTCTGAAATTAATTCATTCAGTAGAGGTACTTTTGACTTAAAGCCAGACGGCCAATTTCCTTAAATACTATAATACATCGTACATATGAATATTCGATTATTTTCAAGAATAACAATTCACATATATTCTAAACATATTTTTAAAAAGATTTTCCCATCGTAATAGGATCGTAGATTATCTTACATCTATGATATGTATTTTTATGTAGCTCAGTTTTCTCATCCTCATTTTTTCTTAACATCAGTAAGATAAAATTGTAAAAAGACAAAAAAAAGAACAAATAAAAAATCATTCTATTCGTCTAAATGAATATAAATCGTTTAGGCTTAAATTTAAATAAAATTATATATATATATAGAAAATAATATTAGTTTGTTTTAATTGATAACATATCGAGTATTGCATACGTACGACGTATGTAAAAAAAAAAAAACATCACGTGTATATAGACTATATGTGTATATAATATATGTATATATATGTTTCGAGAAAATATATGAATACTATGCAAATATATATATATATATATATGTATGTGTATATAATAATATGTATATATATATATATATAGCTTAATTATACATATTGATCGAAGATAAAAATATAATTTCGATATAACATTCATATTTTGAAACATTTTTATATAATGCTTTTAGGCATTTCGATTGATATGTTTTGACTTTTTATTCACTTATGTTAATAATAAACGTTAATACTTTGAAATATATGTATATAGATATGTATTATATAGGTATGTATGTGTAAGTGTTTATTGAAAATTATAATTATTTATATATGTATGTATGTATTCGGACTCTCGACGACTCTCATCAGTAGCGCATAGAAACGAGGAATCATTTTATTTGGAAAGACATGTACGACATGGCGACAGGTACTCTAAGCATTTGAGAAAGGTTTTCGCGAGCGCGCGTTCATGATCTCTTTTCATCATTTCTTTATTTATTTATTTAATTTTTCTATTCTTTTTTACCACTTTTTTTCTCTCTTTTTTTTTTCTTTTTTAATTAACTTTCTTTTATATTTTGTATATGTTTTTTTTTTCTTCCTAAATTCTTTCCTTCTTTCTCTTTCATTTAAACGTCGCGAACGCGTTTATTAAATTTTTTTTTATTTTTTTTTTTTTTTTTATTAAATATTTGAAATATTTTAAAATTATGTCTTGTCAACGTGTCATTAATTTAACTTCAATTCCACGACGCGTTACACACATATATATAGATATATTTATTATATTTCTTAATTAACAACGCGATATTATTATATATTCCAATTAACAATTGATATGTGTTTTGCTGAATGATAATTCCAATATAATTCCAATCAATTTTAAATATATATATATAATATATATTATTTAATATTTGTTATTTTTTTGTTTTGTTTTAAATTCATTTTCTTTTCTCGTTCCATCGATATATTAATTATCTCTCGTTATTTTTAAACTTTCAAAATTTGTATATATATATATATATATATATATATATATATATTTATAGATAAAAATGATAAATCTTTAAATAACAAATTCAAATTTAAATTAAAAAGATTATTTTGTTCTCAATACGTATCTTTTGGTATAATTCGTACAATATATATATATATGTATATATTATCATCATCATTATCATCGTCATCATTCATTATTTTTCACATATATAATTATTTATGTATGCTTTAAATTTCTTTTTTTTACATATCCATATATATATTGCTATGCCATATTACACCGATTAATTAACAAATGTTCAGAACGATTTTAATTGTATGATAGATTTTTTGCAAATTTTTTTTTTTTTTAATAGACGTCTATAATAATATTAAACAACACGTGTACGATTATTTTGATCAACACCATTGCCTTTTTTTTTTTTTTTAATGCTAAATACTATATTCGCTTAATTGTCACGTTTTCTTTCCATATTGAATTAGTTTAGTTTCTTTTACCACTACTGATACCAAGAACGTTCGATTCTTTACCATCATCATCATCATCATCAACATCATCATTATTGTTTTTATGATTTTAATTACAGAACGATAATAATAAAGAAAATGACAATAATAATAATAATAATAATTGTTATGTAATTATAGTGTGCGTTTACGTAAGATTTCCTAACTATCGATCAGTGTTAATAGTCTCCCCATTTTCATATACATTCCTTATCATAAACGTTTCTATCATCAATATGATTGAAAAGGCGAAATATTATTTTCAAATCGATCGATTAAACGATCAAACTTAGAATTTTCTTACACATTTTTAACAGATATTGAGAAAGATAGATAGATAGATAGATAGAAAGAGAGAAATAGAAAAATCAGAAAGAAACAAAAAATTAATCTATGTAAAGTGTTTTACTGTATTTTCAATTTGCCATATAAACTCAAAATATTTGTCATAAAATAATCGTCTCGTAATTTTTATATACCAAGACGTTATTTTGCCAATATTTCAGTAATATTTATTAATTTATTCTTAATAATATTTAAATATTAATTTATTATTATTATTAATATTTGCGAATTAATGTTATATTATTTATTTGTTTAGTTGTAATTAATAATTCCATTTTATGCCTTTTTATGCCTATCTTTCTTTCTTTCTTTCTTTCTTTCTTTCTTTCTTTCTTTCTTTCTTTCTTTCTTTCTTTCTTTCTCGCGATGATAAAGAGATCATTAGTAAGTATTTAATAACTTACTTATTTGTTTTTAATATATATATATATATATATGTTTTTGTTTTAAACTATATAAGAAGAAGACGACGACAACGACAACGACGGTCCACTGTGATATGTAATTTGTATTTTATCAGTCGTAATATTAGGAGAAAACACCATAGAAGGCGTCTCGTATCGTCACCCTAGAATCTCCTCTTACTAAGTGATTTAAATATATCCCCATGAAACGTTTCTTATCCGTTTCTTTTTTTTACAATCTATTTTCTTCTTTCTTCTTGTTTTCTTCTTCTTCTTCTTGTGTTATTGAAGAAATTACATCGTTGTTGTTATTGGAGATATACATATATCAAGTTCGTAACGGAGTCTTCATAGAATACGAACGGGATCGACGTAATTAAACCGACATCACTTAAAAATCTACGTGCTTTGATGGAGGAGAATTTGCATGTTTATTTATGTTGTTCTTGTTGTTTCTTTCTTGTTGTTCTTGTTTGTTTTTTTATTTCTTTTGTTAAATCCTTTGATCATTCTTCTTACCCCTATGATTCTCCTCCTCGTTAACTAATATTTAAGGAAGAAATAATTTAGGCGAAGGGTACTCGTTTAAAAAGACGATTCCCTTGTCCAGTGATCCTTTTTTCACCGGAAGTGTACTGTACAACAGATTTTATTTGATCTGTGGCAACTTGACCAATGCATACCAATGGATCTTTGAAGTAAGAGCAAACCTAAGAAAAGAAAATAAACGAGTTATTAAAGTGAAAACTTCTTTAGCATGGGTGTGATTTGAAATATTAAATATATTTACATATAAGAAACTAAATATTATTCTAAAAATATGCATCAATAAATTACAATATTAAAGTTTAATTTTTATCATTATTTATAAAAATATTTGATTTAAATGTTTTATTATTTACTTTTTTTGTAATTATTGTAAAAATGCGCGCCTGTATGAATGCAACCCTCCAGACACACTTTGAAAATGTTGCTTACGAGCGTCATCTGTCGGAACGGAATTTTTTTCTGCCCGAAAGATAGGCCACCCGTCATATTTACGTGTATAAACAGTTTCGACTGCAAAAAAATTCCGTCCCAATAGATGTCGCTTGCAAGCAACATTTTCAAACTGTGTCTGGAGGGTTGCATACGAACAGGCGCGTATTTATATAATTAAATGAATAATTAAATAAATAATTACAAATTAAAAGTGCAAATAATATTATAATATTATATAATAAATTATCTTCGAAACTTGTTTATTTCAAGCTTTCACTTTTAACTTGTAACTTGTGTAATATGCACACACATGTTTTTTTTTTATTTTACATTATTTTCATTCTTTGTTATAAAGAAATAATCAATGGATTTAATAATTAAATTATAATTAATGTTAAAATAAAATATAATTTAATATTTAAATTATTGTTTGTGTACTATATGGTAATATAACACATTGACAGATTAATATAAAACAATAAAACAAAAACAAAAACATCAAGAATGTTGGATTTAAATATTAAAAAACATTATTATAAAATATTTCTAATGAAATAATATTAATTATAATTTTTGGACTGTACCTTTCTTGTAGTTTGTCGATGTCGCCTCTGCAATTGACAACACAATCCACGACCAATATCACATTCACCTGACATGTTACATTCTTCGTCTAAAATAAAAAAAGAAATAAAAATATTGTTAACAAAATAAATGAAAATAATTAATGAAAGAGAGAGAGAGAGAGAGAGAGAGAGAGAGAGAGAGATATGATATTTACTGTATTGTTTGTTTGAAGTGACAGGTGGTTGACAGGATCGAGTTTCACCCCCTGCTGTGTCAGCACACATCAAACCTGTTTCACAATCGTTATCCCTTCTGCACAATTCACCCTGTTTTAGTCCATAAGCAAACAGGCAAGTTCCAATAACTGTAATTTATCAATGAATACAATTTCATTTAATAATAAAATCAATTGCAATAAACTAACAAATTATTTCTATTTAATTTCTTTTAATATTTATCTTATTTACGATAAATGAACTTTAAAAAAAGAAAAAAAAAGAAGAAAACCAATTATTTCCCGAACAACCCCTTTTCATAATTTCATTTTAATTTCATTTTAATTTGATTTTAATTTGATTTGATTTTATCTATTTTAATAATTTTGTAGAAAAACATATTCAACATTCGTTGATTAAAAATTTATACAAAATGTAAAACGTATTATTTACTGTTACTATTATTTATTCATAAGTTTTTATTAATTAATCTTTCTCGATAAATTTTCAAACCCCCCTTTTTTTATTTTCCATTTAATACATTTTCTTTTTCTAAGAATTTACTAATGTATGACTCTGATAATGTTTAAGTAAAAATATAAATGAAATGTTTATTTATATATTCGTGACTGTAACATTACGTAGAATTATTTGAAATTATGTAAAATTTTAATCTTTTAAAAAGCTTGACAGTTTTCCGATAACGTTTTATACTCTTTTATAACATTAACATTTTATCGTTGATTCCAATATTATTATTATTATTATTATTATTATTATTATTATTATTATTTTTTAAATTTTATAACATTAATGTAAGCCTTTGATCGATATTTTTTCATCAAGATAAAAGTTTTATAAAAGTCATTATAGTATACTATATATATATGTATATACGTGTTAGGTAGGTATATACAACGTGTATTTAAAGATAAAATAAACATTAATGGAATATTTACTGCCATCAACGTTGACACAAATCGAACCAGGACAGCAATGTTCATTGGCTGTACATTTCTTCTCGTAACAGGGATCGTCAGATTCTTCTTCCAAGGAATCCCCATAGGAATTTCCGTAACCTCCCGAAAGGGGTCCCTTTAATTTCAAACAAAACAACAAATTTACATTTTAATGAAATTCCTTATCGATTTGTAAAAAAAAAAAAAAAACATGAAATTCTAATTTTATTATTTATTACAAAACTAAAAAACGTAACCACAAGAGTCGTCATAGTTAAATTGAATATTTTGTTCTTTTTTCTTCCATTATTAAATTTTTATTTTAAATCATCGTAGTACCTTATATTTTTATAATTAATCTTAACTAGATCAAATTTTAAAAACAAATCGAATTAAATATCAAAGGTCCAATTTAAAATAGAAGAATTTTTCTGTTTAGTTTTCTTGTGGTTTACGTTTGGATGCATTTGTTCATGGTCAAACTAAAAATATTACAATTTTTTAAAACATTATTCAAACAAAATATCTTAACATAGATATCTGCATCACTTAAAAAAAATATACCTATATATATATGATAGAATAATTTGCACGAAACTTTTTCCATATTGTCGAGCAATATTTAGCTTGAGCAATTTTTTTTTTTTTATATTTTCCTACAATCTCATCAACACAAACAATACTTCTTTTCTTTTTTTTTTTCTTTTTTTAATGAAGGAAAAAAGATAAGATCAAAGGGTAAACCGGACACTGCACAGTCGCGATCGATGTTGCAAAGTAAGTTCAAACAGTTAATGACGGTGACACAAGATTGAACTTTTCAAAGTTGCCTTGTATATCGCAATATTTTTAGCATTTTATCATCTTTTATTGAATATCTTATTTAACGAGATTTTCTCTTATAACGTTCATACCTGACAATCTTACGGTAACATGATCATCTCAATTTATCAAACTTACTCTACGCTTTCATAGTAAAAATTAATTTAAAAAAAATAAAAATAAAAAACAAAAAGTAACAGATTCTAATAGAAAAAAAACAAAAAAAAATTATAAATCAATCATCTATTATCTAATAAATATAATTATCTTATTTTAAATTTGATTGTGTGAAATTTTCATAAAATAATAAAAAGATGAGATTAAAAAAGAGAAATTGAAATATGATAAATAAAATAACAAATATAATATATAATATATAATATAAAATAATATATACATATATTTTAAATTTATATTATATAACATAAATAATAAATAATATAAATAAAAAAATAAATAGATGAATAAATTCAATTGATTATAATAATAATCGATACTTCCAGATAATTGTGGATCATTTATGGCGAGGAACCGTTGACGTAATTCTAACGTAGCAACGCTATACCCACTTTATGCAGTAACAAAATGGATAGGAAAGGTTTGTAGGGAGAGGGGGGAGGGTAAAAGGGATTATCGATCGAAGGTATTTTGCGTACTGCGACAGAAAATTACAAATACAAATGATCCCTAAATTTCTATCCCTAAATTTCTATTCCTAAATTTCATGGAATTTTGTTTCTTTTTATCATATCTGGACAATTATAGATAAGATAAAAAAAAAGAAAGATAAATAAATAGATGATGATTAATAGTAATAATAATAATCATACCTGTAATAATCTAGATCTGCTCAAATAACCACCATGTCCACCATAACCAAGATTAGATAACATTTCAGGACTGAAACGATTGAAAAGGCCACCCCATGCGTTTGCACCGAAGTGCATCGTGCTCGTCAAAACTATCATAGTGATAGCGATACTAGTTTGCACCTTCATATTTCTTTTTCTTTTTTGAGTTCTTTTATCTGAAGGAGTTTTATCAGTTATTATCTCAGCAACTCTATAAAGAAACAGAGACAAAATTGTTCAAAATTAAATCGAAAATATGTAAATAATTTTTTCAAAAAAAAAAAAAAAAATAAAAACAACAAGTCGAAGTAAAATTGAGTAGAAAAGATGCTGCTTTTATGATTTGTATTTTTTTTTTTTTAATTGTAAATTAATAATAAATTCATAAATTCATTTTCTTAAGAAATCATTTTTCAATCAATACTTTGTCTTTTTTTTTTAAATAAAATATTTATCTTAATAAAAAGATAATTAAAAGTAAATTGTTTCGAGGATCTTTTTGTCAAATTGATTTTGATTTTTCGAAAAAAAAAAGAAAAAAAGAAAAAAAGAATAAACAACAATTTTACGTAATATTTTTACAATCACACGGATTTGACATACATTGTTTTAAACATAGTAATTTCTTCGTAGAGATTAACATATTGCATTTGCGTGACTAAAACGATTTCAACGTTAAACGTGATAAAGTAATCAACTTATCATACTTGAAAGAAATACAAATATTTATGAACGTATAATGATATAACGGCAAATACGATTATTAATTAGGACACATATCATTCTTTTTTCAAAAATACATCTTTTCTTTTCTTTTCTTTTCTTTAGTTATTATATTATTATATTTAGATAATTTCAGGAAAAAAAATAATAATTCCAAGTAAAACTGAATACTACAAAAATACTTATGTACTTATGCTTATGTTCTTTTTCATTAATTATTATACTAAAAAAAAAAAAAAGTATATGACAAATTAAAAATTATAATACGTTTGATAAGAAACATAAATTTATTCACTATGACAACGATTGAAAAAATTACGATAATAAACGATCGATAAATTGAATTAAATATTTCACGAACATTCGCGAATTTCTAAATGAAAATAAGAAAGAAAATAAAAAAAGATTGTCAAAATTTTCTTAAATCACAATTCTTATTCAAACATAACATTAAACAATCTATTGTAAATTCAAAATTAAAAAAAAAAAATGTAGTATACAACATCGATTCATATAAATGATGGTAATAAATAATTATTGTGTTAAACAAAGTATTAAGTCGTCTTAAAAGTTTTTTGTTTGAATAATTCTATGAACACAATATATTTTTTAGATTGAATAATTGAAAGTATAGTATAAGATAAAATAAAGTAGAATTAATATTATTTAGTAAAATAAAGTAAAATACAAATAAAAAAAGTATTGGGTTGAACTAAAAATTTCTTTCTTTTTGTTTGAATAATTCTATGAACACAATATTTTTTAGGTTGAATAATTTAAAGTGTAGTAAAAGATAAAATACAATAGAATCGATATTATTTAGTACAATGACATAATAAATAACGTAATAAATGCAACAACAAAAATATACTACGTATGTAACATTGTTTAACTTATCACTGAAAAAAGGAAAACAATTTTCAAGACGACCTAATAACATTGCATATACCAAATAAAAAAAACATAATAAAATAAAATAAAATAGATAATTAAAAAAAAAAAAAGAAAAAGATCCCTTTTACTTACTTGCTTTTTTTTTTTTAAACAGGTTAAGGGAATGAATTTTCCTAGCAGGAAAATATGACGAGATTAGAACTTCGGTAGAAGTTAGTTGATGTGTGAATTGTGGTGAGAAGGATCGGTCACTTTTTGATCAGCTCGTTGAGATCAACAAGTCCTCTTTGATGTTTGCTGGAGGACTGAGCAGAATCCTCTCGGAACCCTAGGTAATCTATACTTGTACCACTATTCGCCTTTCCGTAACCGTCATACAGGCGCACCCTATATATATAATGTTGCGCATGCGTTTACCCTATCTCTCCTATCTCTCCTATCCCCCTACTATATTCTCCCTCCTACTTCTTCTTCTTTTTCATCTTCTTCTTCGTCTTTTTCTTTACCCCTTTTCTTTTTATTTCTTTTTTCCTATCTCACCCTACTAATTATATGCCCACCACCATCAGTACTACCATCAGCACCACCACCTACGTGACATTTCATCCCCATTCGAATTTTCTACCTCCTATATATCGGACACGTTGTGTTGCTATTGTTCACGTGAAACGATAAGCAACTTCTTTTTTATACGGAAGAATAAAACAATATAAAAACAAAACCAAAAAAAAAAAAAAATACAATGTCAAACCTTTCTCACACACTCTAAATTAACAACCAACGTGAGCGATGATATCAACTACCATTTCTACCCTCCTTCCTTTCCTCGTACGCAATGTTCACTTTTTTTCCTTAGTTTCTTTTTTTTTTATCTTAATTATTACAATTAAAATTCTTATTAGTATCGAGTTATAATTGCATAATATAAATATATACGAAAAACAATAACGAAGATAAATAACAAATACATTTTTTTTTCCAAAAACAACGAACAATTCTTTACCAATGCAAAAAAAAAAATTAAATATTATATATGAAAGATTATAGATGTAGAAGTTGATAAAGGGGTGGTAGATAGCAATTGCATTGTTCTTTACATTTAATAAGAAGATCTGGGATTCTCCTTGCTTGGCCCAGATCAAATTCATCCAGGGATTTAGTTTTAACGCGTAGGTGTTGAGCTAAACCACCCACCTCATATCCCATCCCACCTGTCTCACTTTTACTGACTCTTTCTCTCTTTCTGTTTTACCCTTTCTACCTGTACCTGTACCACTACTACTACTACTACTACTACAATCGCAATAACCATACAAATAGTACCACCTACTACATCTACCTATATCTATCTATCTCTTTTACTTCTTCTTTCTTCAGTTTGAACGTGTTATCATTGTCTCCTTCTCTCTTTGGTCGTATTGATCCAAAGTATCCTGATGTTCCCAGCCAAGAGGTAGCTCCTGCTTTCACGTATACAACTCTCTGGTTCCGCCCTGTTGTATTACAGGTACCTTTAATACATGTATATGTGTATATGTGTGTGTGTTCGAGTAACACACTAATATTGTTTTAACTTAAATACGTAATACTTGTATGCCAGAGGTGAAAAGAAAAAACATTATTTTATGAGAGAGAAAGAAGAATGAACAAGGATTACAATAGAAATGTTCCTAAATTAAATGTCCATCCTTTTTTTTGTCAACATTTTTCATTCAACTTTAATTATTTCTTTTTTCTTTTCCCTCTTATTGTTTCATTTTACAATGTTCTTCTCTTTCATGTAATATAAACGATCAAGAACAGAAAACGAACGAATTTGCTACTAGCAAGGACATTTTTACTTGGTTATAATTTAATTTATTTATATTTCATTTTTAAAACGACTACTATACTATTCTCTCTCTTGTATTCTTTCGTTTAAATTTTCATTTGATTTGTTTTTTTTTTCTTTTTTTTCAAAATTACATATATACATATTTTTATCATTACTTCCTGTCAACGCAATTTTCATCCAATGAATTGCTTGTTCTTTTTTCCTTTTTCATTTTATTAAATGCGAATTAATGCGAATTACTTTTACATTGAAATTCGATTTTTTATATGTACGTTCATAGATTTGTTTTTTACGTATAATATTTTAACTAAATTTTTTTTTCTTAAATAATGAAATTATTTTTAGAATGGTTTTTTAATTTGCGATATTAAAAGCCAAAAAACACGTACACCACCAACCACCCCGTTGATTTACAGTACACCCTTGATGAAGATTTTAATCACTTTTTGCGAACGGTCACGCAATACGTCGTTCTTTAGTCTGCACGTTGATAAACTTGCATAATGTGTTTTTCTCGAGTACATTTTTTTTTTTTTTTTTTTTACATCTTTTTACGTCTTTTTACGCCGCGTCGCCAACTCAAAGATAACAACTTTGAATTTAATCACTAACGGTAGTCTAACATTATTTTTCTCGATAATGTAATCACGATATCAAAAATTTTTCTTCGTTTAATTTCAAGTTTTTAATAATAAATTATTCATAGATCAATCATTGTGCAAATTATTAAATTATTGACTCGTAATATTAGTTGCATTATTCATTCGTTTACAAACCAAGTTTTCCATGCTTTACTTATTTTGTAATTTAAACGTAAGAATTATAAAAATTAATTGAACAATTGTTATTAATACGGAGACAAATAAATTTCGATTATTATCGTATAAAAATGCATTTAATAAATAACAATGTAATCTAACAATGAAATAAATAATATTCGCATCGCATTCATTTTTCACATTAAAAATATATCTCTATATAAATATAAATATTAAAATAATGTATGTTACGTTGTATTATGCATACGTATAGAGACAAAATACACGTATATGTACATGGAACACGTGTTCCTTTCTATATATATATATATAAAAAAATACCTTAAGACTTATATAATACGTACGATACTCGACGAAAGAGTATGTTAGATAAAATTTCACCAATTCGAAGAATAATTACATTAACTTTACTATTTCTTCGTTATCGTTTTGTTTTAGTCTTTCATCATCGAAAGAAAGAAAGAAAGAATAAAAGATAAACAACTCATAAATACTAATTTTTCGTTAAATAACGAAAAGTCTTAACGAAATTTCGAGTGTCAAGGATAAAAAACTAAACATACAAAATATATAATATAAAAAACGAAATAATCTCTCGTCCTTCAATGATTTTTTTGCATCACACTGGTTCCAATGAAGGAAGAGAGAAAGGGAGGGAGGGAGGGAGACAGGGGGAATTAGTTTTGAATTAAAGGAAAAGGTAGGAAAGGGTTGCTTCCTTAATCGATATTAATCGTTCTAATGCCGGGCGGGTAATAAATTAGACTTCCTTTGTACATTTATACAGGTGGCACGGTTAGAATATGAGAGTGTCCTTGAGATGAAGGAAACGTCCTTGGCCTCAAACTCCAGTGATACTGTGCAGCCATGGTTTGAAATAAGTGGTCCTCATATAAACGCCAGGTAAATACGGCGCGGCACACTTTATTCCATGAGATACAGTTCCAACTAACATCCATCTGCCATCAGGTCGTTCCATTACCAATGGACCACCGCTGTCACCCTACAAATGATCGATCGATCATATTAAATCCATCACTTGATTAGATTTACCTTCATTACATCTACTTTTCAAATATGCTTGCTCATCGTTCTTCCTTGTATCATGTACATGTGCATACAACAAGCATGTTTTCTTATAAATTGCAACCTCACATAAGTACCAGTATTCAGTACCACCACCAACAACACTACCATTACCATCTGACATTTACTACTTCATTAATCTATACTTCATACTAAATACATTGACATATCCAATTACTTCTAGACGTTAATATACAAGCAAACTTATATTCTCAATGAATATATATATATATATACGATCAAATCAAATAGCATATTTTCTATCTACTGTATTATTTAAAAGTACCTCGCATGAATCCTTCTGACCATTGGCGTAGCCAGCGCACATGAAACTTTCCAATATTAATTTTGAATGACCTGCCGTTTGGAACATTTCTTGGCATACGGAATTCTCCATGATCGGCACTTGAACCTCTTGCAATACCGAAGGTACACCACCATCTACATCAAAGATTGTTTATTAACGAAATTTTGTTTTCATAGATTATTCTAAGGATTGGACAAATACTTACTGTACTTCAATCTACCCCAACCAGTGACCGTAGCCATTCTGCCGGTAAAATCAACGTTATCGTCGGGCATGCAAATTGGTACAATGTGGGCGTCGAATTGAACAGGTGATTCCAATTCGAGGAGTGCCAAATCATTTTCGAATGTTGCTGGATCGTAACCCCTGTTAACGATAACACGACGAACGTTCTTTGTTACGCTACGTTTTGATTCCAATTCACCCGATATGTCGAATTCACCGAAAACTGCTACGAGGGATGCTAAAAATCTGCATAGAAAAATTCAATAAATGTTTTTTTAATTAATTTTTAATATCATAATCAAAAATGCAAACAAACCAGCAAAATATGTAAAGCTAAAATTGTTCAGACATTAGTTTTTAAAAATGGAATATCATATTTTATTTACCCTGGCTGACAATGTGCCGCCGTGATGACGTATTTGTCCGTGATAAGAACACCACCGCATTTATTTTTAGTAAACAATCCCAACCATGTTGCTTCCCTTACCAATACCTGCCACGGCCATTGACCAAATTGTGCACCCTTTCCACCAACTATTCTACCAGACTTGATTAAAGGTCTCACCCCACATTCTGTCGATGAAAGATTGCTACATATTAATTATTGACACAAGTTCATCACTTTTCTATCAATTAATAATCAAATTTCAATTATTTCAATTCGTTTGATTGCACACACGATATTTAGATAATCAAATCAATACGAGGAATAAATTAAATATCAACTTGTTATATTTGATACAATGAAATACACGATTAACATTGATTTGACGTTGTTCAACTATCCCTTTAAATAACATAATTAAATTTTTCGATAAGATAAGAATACTAAGAAAAAAATAAGGTAGGTAGTAAAAATATCGGAATAAATTATAAGATATTAAACGATTAAATAAACGCGAGTTTAACACGAATTAGCACGAACTCGTTGACAAATAATTCAAACAAATTTTACTGAGAGAATTGTTTATGCGCACGTAAGAAACGTGTTTTATTTCTTACGAAATAGGGTGTGGAATAAGAAGAAAAGAAACAAAAAAACTATATCAAATTAAATGAAACTATTTGACAATAGTGTGTCTTACGTGTACGAAAATCCGATGTTGGAGTGGTGGTTTCGACATTCAAAGAGGTGCTTTGCGTTGTATCGATCGAAGCTTCCCCTTCCTCCTCCTCCTCCTCCTCTTGGAGAACAACCTCGACCGTAGTTGTAGGTACAGTGCTTGTCTTTCTGTTTGGTTTTGGACGTTTCGTGGTTGTCTGGGGTGGTGTTCTTTTTGTTGTTGGTAAAGGCGTAGTTACTGTAGGTTTTTGTTTTAGAGTTGTAGGTTTGGTTGGTCGTGGTTTTTCACCGGAAATTGGTTTTGACGTTGGAGTTGGTCTTGCGTTAGGTCTTTTCGTAGTAATTGGTTTTTTCGTTGTATTTTGTGACGATGGTTTGTTAGTTGACGGTGGTCTTCTTGATGGTTTTTTCGTGGTATTACCAGAAACCGTGGTAACTGGTCTTTTCGTTACCGATATTGAACTCGTTGCTGTTGTTGTCGTCGTTGGCGTCGTTGGCGTCGTTGGCAATGTGTTAGTTCGATTGTAAACGATGTCTTTGAGATTCTGAAATGTTCACAACCGACAGCTTTTAGTTTAGTAGTTCTATACTTTTAGATTGAGCGTGAAAATTGTATACAATTAAAGTGTTAATTGGAACACGTTAGTTAGAAGTTACATTAGTTTTGTATTCTGCAAGAAATCTATTCCCGTTCCCAACGGTATAGTTTTGTTGAGTGAAAAGTAACTATTACGAACTGATACAATTAAAACCATTCTAATTTGTCACGTACACATTCTAATTTGTTACGTCACACAGACTATTTGGTTACTCTTTTAAAGAATTGCAAAAATATCTTTGGATAATTATATATTTAAATCTTTAACAATTATTTCTTTTTAATTACGTTTCACTTTAATAATTGATAATAATTTCTTTTAATTATAAAAACATTTTAAATTACCTGAAAATTACCCTGAAGAGATTCGACGATCTTGTTTACGAACGTATCAACTTTATTTGTGAGTACATCATCCTCTATGAAGGTAGGAGTTGGAATATCATTCTCGCTGATTATTTCGATATTCGGATAGCCAGTATTATTGTAAGTCTCGACTATCGTTGGTTTTTCTTGTTGAGATAAAGGAGTTGAAATATTTAAATTTGGATTTCTAACTGGTGGGAAGTTAACGAGATCGTCAGGAGCAGGTGTTTCGTCGTCACAATGAACGGAAGCTGCTGCAATTAGTGGTGGTGGCGATGGAGTTGTTGCTTTTAGAACAAAAGTAACACCTGGTGTATTTTGCGAGGAGACAATGTGAGATGTCGAAGGTTTCAAATAAAAGCCAGGTTTTTTGGACCAAGTTAATGCAGTCATCCAAGTTGTAGGTTTTTTCGTTGTCATTCTTTCCTCCAAACTCGTTTCAGTAACAAAAGCTTCAGTAGTAGAGTCAATATTTTCCGGTGATTGTGTACTCGTAGTATCTTTTAGATTAACAGTTATGTAACTGGTAGAAACAACGTGATTACTATTGGTATCAACGTTAGAAATGACAGTGCTAATGTTGTGAGTGATCATAGTAGATACACTTGGTTTTTTTGTAATAACAATTGCAGGTCTAACCGTTGAAATAGTTGGCCTGGTCGGAGCAAAACTTGGCTTATTCGAACCATTAGATGGTTTCTTAGTTATCACAGATTTCGGTGTAGTCAGAGTAGTGTATTCTGTGCCAAGTGGTCCGAGAACAATGACGGTCGGTGCTGGTGGATTTGTGGTTGGTCTTGATGAATATGCGAAACTGCTGGATGATCCATAAGTTAATGGCGTAGATGGTGGTCTCGATGAATAAGAATTGGATGTAGAATAGGTAGGATAATTAGTTTCGGTAGGAAAAGTTTCGTAATTGTAATACGACGATGGTTGTATTGGTTTATAAAAGGTAGGAGATGCTGTGGATAAAGTTGTTATCGTAGGATTTAATGTGGATGGTTGTAAAGTTGAGATCTTTAAAGTAGAAGGATATACAGAAGAAGGTTTGTACGTCGATGTTTTCAAAGTGGAAGAAGGTTTCCAAGAGGAAACTTTGATCAACGAAGGTTTCGAAGTTTCTTCTACGTTCATCCAGTTATTAACAGAAGACATTGGTTCTTTTATAGTAACCGTAGTCTCTGTTCCCGGTGTAGTACCGTTCAATATAGAAATAATATGATTGATGGCTATTTCTTCTTTATCAAGAACGTCATTCTTTTTATTACCCGATGGAGCCTCATAAGTAATCGTGGGAACTCTCACCATACCTTTGTCGTTATTTGTCGTAGTCATCGGAGTGGTAGCTACGCGTTTAACCGTGCTACCATCAGCCTCTATTTCATCCTCCATCGTTACTTTCTCTTCTGTCGTTTTCATCTTCTCGATAGTATCGCTTGAACTCAACCCTGAGCTAGGTGTCACGTTCGAAACCTTTTGCGTGTTCTCGTATGTCTGCTGTTGAGCTGCTTCATCAACAACACTTGATTCCATATTCAAACTAGTAGATTTCAAATCACTGAACGTGATTGGCATCTCGGTGGTACTCGTTGACGATGATTGATCAGGGAATCTCATCCATTGTGTCGACTCCGTACTACCTCCTCCTCCTTCTTCCTTCACTCTCGTTTGTTCGGTCATGGAGGAGGATTGCGTACTTTGCATTATTGTTGTTATCTTCGTTCTTTCCTCGGTATTCCAACTGGAAGTCATTTTACTATTCGTAAAAGCATCTATCGAGGATTCCGTGCTTGGCTTAAACAATTCATCTGGATTATGCGTCTCGTTTAACATTGTACCATTTTCATTCAACAATATAGTATCAGCCGAACTATGATTATTATGACTTAAACCATGAGAAAACAAAGCCGGCAATTGATCGACCGGATCGGCTATTTGAAGCACTTGATCTGGGCTCAATAACGTTGCTAATGGATTCTCGACCATTGGATTATTATGATTATTTTGATTATTATTATTCTTGTTATGATTCTTCATATTGTTGTTTTTATCCTTATGAGAAATTAATCCTGGTAATTGCAAACTATCCAAAATAGTTTGTTGACCAAGTAACGCAGAAAAATCATTTTCCAATTGACTTATACCTGGTTGCAACGGTGGTACCTGAACTTTTTCACCGTTCTCCAATTCATCTTTGTTGTTTGGTTTAAAAGTCGATAAATTAGAATCTAACGTCGTTATTTTCGTATAAGAAGAATCTTCCTCGTTCAAATGATTCGAAACGCCAGAAGACGAATCATCTGTTTTAATGTTGTTATTGGTCTGTTGTGCTATCGACATTCCAATTGGTGTACCATCCGGATTTAAAAGTATCGGAATATCCGGCACATGATCGATCTCTTCCAAATTTAATAGGTTCTCCGTACTTGGAATTTTTTCGTAATGCTCGTCATTTGTATTTTTCGATGGTGGTAATTGACAACACGCGCCAAAAAGAAAACCATCCATACAGGCGCCAACAACTTTGCCATTTCTACGTGTGCATTCGTAATTGAACATGCAAATTGCTGGCTCCTTTGATTTCGTTCGTGTTGGTATCGTTGGTTGGCATACTTTCGGTACTATTCTGTAACCTCCGAACAGTCTTCGACCTGCAAACACAATTATTATCTGTTTCAATTTGATCAATTCAATTATTTTTAAACTATCGCTGACACACATTTTCTTTCAATTGATTTTCAGCTCATGATTGTTTTGCAAAATAAAAAGAAATAAATAAACGGTGCCAATAATTGGAAGGTTTTGAATGATCATTTACATCTAATTGAAAGATTCTAAACATTCATTGTAATTAATTAAACTATCGAATGAAATGTATGTGCATTTTACATACGAAATAAGTTGAAAATAAGTACTTGGTATTCTAATTTCATACATTAATGCAAATTATCTTAAGAATCCTTGAGAAAAATAGAGAAAAAAGATAGGAGACTAAAAAGACAACATTTAATTCAATACCATTCGATTTCTCAAGATTGAAACGAATTCGATGCGTGTTGCAACGATTTAACCGTTCTTTCAATGCCCTTGCACATCATAACGGGTAAGTAGCGGTTCTCTCCTATCGTCTTCTAATTACTAAAACCACCAGGTTTCTATTTAACAATTTTCCAAAGCTATTCCAATCAGACGAAAGATAATTATGTTTCTTGATAGAAATGTCTATATATTTATATGCGTCTGTGTTGTGTTGTGTGTGTATGAGTATGTATAATAAGCAGGTCACGATTGAAAATGAATTCCAGGTCGTTTCACGCTTCAAATGAATACTGACCGATATAATCATTTATTTAATCAAAAACATTTTTTGATAGACAATAATTAGTATAAACTTTTGATAATTACCATACAAACATTTTATGAAAAATTTATATACATTGTACGGAGTATAATTTTTTAAATTTATTTCTAATGTTCATTCAATAAATATAATATAATTTTCATATATTATATATATCGTAAAATAAATCAATATAAATAATAATTTAAAAAATATTTGAAATTATTCCACTATAAATTGCATAGAACATAGTTAAATTTCCAAGTAGTAAAATAATGATGAGTAATAAATTATTTCTATTAAAAATGAACAGTAAAACATTTTACACGTACAACGTATTAAATAAATATTATTAATAAACGTATACACATATGCACACATTTATCTAAAAAACTAGGCAACTGTTACTGATATTACAAGATTGTTTGAAAAATTCCTAACGAACTAGAAAATAATAATTAAAAAAAAATATATTAAATATAAAAATTAATAATCGATAAGAATTGATACAGGCACACACACATACACAACAACCTAATAATTTCCTATCATTTATTTCATCATTTTCAATGATATAGATGACAGGTTAATAAGAAGATATTGAAGGTGTATGAGAGAGTGTTAAAATGATTTGAGAAGATCTTAAAAATAGATTGTTCAAGGTTAGCAGGCAAATTTAATGTATACGGTACATTGTATCTGTATAACTGAGTAAGATGGTTATGCTTAGATGACTAAGGGGCATAGACGAGCAAGCATGTAGGCTTCGCACGTGCCTTATACGTCTACATACTACCGATATGATGACCTACTCCGCGAATCGTTCGTATTGCTCGTCCCCGGATCCTTACACCGTTCTACATTTTTTTTCTATTTCGTGTTTGTGCTACGTAAGAAAACTTAGAATTGTGTCACTGTTCAAAAACACTAACAGAGAGGAGAAGAAAAATCATAGAAAATTCAACCTAATTCGATGACTAATTAAACGTCAAATTCTTGAGAGAGCATCTTTGTATTATACAAAAAATTGATGTACTTTTGAAAATCAAAAAATTTCAATAATATTTCATCTTAAAGTTAATATTTAATCTATCGGAACGAATTATCTATTGAACATGATTACAACGAAGAAAAAAATCAATGTATGTAATTTTAGTGAGAAGTCAATAAACAAAAATATATATTACCATGTTAAAAAAAAAAATACAACAAATTTTTATTCCCTATTTTATCTCTCTCTCTTTCTATCTTTATTTTTAATTATTATTCTTCTTGTTATCTCGTTACATTTTTATTAAATCTACACGCAAATATTTGATCAAGCATCTTTACGTCGGTGCAACAAAAATTGAATGCAGGTTCCATAAAAAAAAAAAAACTAATAAAATAACTAATAAAAATTTGAGAGGTTAATTTAATCGTGTTCTATAAAAAGAAAAAAAAATAATAAAAATTTGAAACGTTGATTTAATTGTATTTAACAAAATACAGAACATTTTTATTCTTTTATCTTTTTTCTTCTGTGCTTATTTTTTTTTTTTTTTTTAATCATTTCTCACATTATTTCATCTCATCTGTTATTGCCATAATAGAAATCATCATGAATTATCATTTTAAAAATCTAATTAATTAAATTTTTATTTAACGATCAACCAGAGTCATAAGAATCGCGTTCTTCTACATGCAATTATTATTAATTACTGTATTTTAGATCGATGTATTCGCGCAAAGGTGGGGAAAAAAAAAAAAGAAAAAAGAAAAAGATAAGGACGAGTAGATCGTTGATTCTTTTCGATTGGATTCGCTCGATCGGCCCAATGAGAGATAGAAGATCCTGTTTCGAGTTTCACTTGACCGCATAAAAACCGAATCGGCCGGTATTAAATTCATTACTATTAATTTCATGTTTCGTTCATGTTCAAACGCGGTCGAGAATAACACGAAAGAGAGAAAGAGAAAGAGATACTTCGTTAAATTATTTCCTCGTAGTTAAATCCTAACTCAATTGCTTCTTTTACGTGTGTGTATATGTATGTGTGTATATCACATGCTTAGAATACATATCTTTCTAATTGACTTGATCGTAAATCAACATGTTTTGTAAATTGATTGATTGAACATAACGATAACTAAGATTATTGCAATGATTATCTTTTTTTTTAAAAAATATTTTTAACAGTTGATAATTATTATTATTATTATTATTATTATTATTATTATAAAAATTAATAAAAATTCATGTTAAATTTTTACAAAGTGTATTTTATTATTTTTGTCCCTTTTATTGAAATATTTTTCTAACTTTTGTTTAAAATTTTATTCAAATTATTGATTTATTAAACGTAATAATTATCATCAAATACCGTTGTTCCACACGACACGAATCAATGCGTGAAAGTGGAGAAATGTAGGTAATATTTTTGATAAAAGGAATTTAACAGTTTGAACAGTTAAAAAGATAATATATATATATATGTCAGAATTATTTATTTTTAAACGCAACTTTGAATTCCTAAATAATTAAATAGTAATAAATATTCTATACGCGTTTGTATGTATTGGGGATAAAAGGTTGTTTGAATAAATTCGTATCGATTTATAAATGATTAATTACATATTCAATGTTATTTTTTTTTATATGTAAACTTATCAGAAATTTTCTTATAAAAATCTATACACACATTTATTTTTGAAAAAATTAAAATATAAGACGAGACGTAAAAAGGGTCGCACCCCAAATTGTATTCAAAATTAACAAGTCAAAGATAATTAATTTAAATTATTCATGTTGTTCAGAAACAGTTTGCATAATTAGTTGTATAATACCTTACGGTACGTTTTAATTATACATAGAATTAATTTTTATTACAAAAATATGTATTTATACATACGTATTTATTTTCTAATAATTCGTATTGAATATTGAATCATTAAAAAATCGATACGAATTTTCCACATGCATTTTAACACTTTTATTAGATTTTATCGTTAATTAAAACGGTAATTATAAAGTTTGGAAAATTGTATAATATATTGAAATATACTTCCCACATATATACAAACGTACGCAAATAGAATATTAAATATGAAATTCTTGTTTTTTACACGTGTTTTAAAAGAAAAACTTTCAAATTGTGCCACTTTAAAATGAGATCTTAAGCGGCCGTTATATCTGAAGAATTCATAAGTAGCTTCTTCAAATGGAATATAAGCGAATATACTTGCAAAGAAGAAGCGTAGGTATATACTCGACTTTCGAAGTTGAATATAAGAGAACGGGGAAGTAGAATTTGGTGTCATGTGTTAAAAACGACGACGACGACGACAACAACAACAACAACAACGATGAATAGAAAGAAACAAAAAGAGAAAAAGTGTGAGAAAAAGAAAGAAAGAAAGAAAGACAGACAGAAAGAGGCAAGTGAAGAAGATATTTTCGTAACTCAATGTACACAACCAACTTGAGAGAGTAAATTCTTCAACGAGAGAAAATAAATAAAATAAACAAAAATAATAATAAGTAAGTAGAAATTGGTGTCATCATGGTTAACTGTTTAAATGTTAGCGAGAAATTTGCATGGATTTCTTCTACAAAGTCATAATAATATTTTTTACAATAAGTTTCTAATAAATTCTTTTTTAAAAAATCGAAAATTTGTTTTTCTTTTTTCTTTTTGTTTTTTTCCCCCTAAATTAATTTTTAGTAAATTATTTCTAAATTAATAATTAGTATATATTATATTAGCTATTATTAATTAATAATATTAATATATTAATTTCGAGGAAATAATTATGAAAATATAAATAGAAATGAAAATATACAAAAATAATTATTTTCTAAATATATTCGTAAAATCAATTTTAAACTAGTCTCCTATTAAAAAACAAACAATTATCTACGATATCTTATTCACCTAATATAAGATTAAAAAAAAAATGCTAACATTCCAGATGACAATTACCTTTGTTTTGGGGTGGTGCATTGGAAAACGAGAAAGCAGAAGTCGAGACCAGAAAGGCGAACAGTAGACAAAGATTAGTTCCAGTAGCCATCTGTAAAGATAAAAATTGTCGGTGATTCAATTTTTCTTCTTCTTTTTTCATTCTTATAAAATACATTTAAAAGATGAACAAAAAAATAAAAAAACCAACTCATTAAAATTGTAATTAATTGGAGTGAACGTGTTGGAATCGTATGAACTAGGCCACCATAATAATTGATTAGAAAAACTATGTTCTATTTTTGCAAAAAAAAAAACAAAAAACAACTATTCGCATAAATTTCATCATCACATAGTTTATATGTTCAATTCACTTGATCGAAATAATATTATACGATCTTATGAAAGTGATCTGACGTTTTATGTAACAAGCATAGACTTTTTGTTTCTTATTATTTCATACTTATGTTCATTTCTTTCTGATTATTATTGTTGTTGTTGTTAATTTAAACAACAAGTGAATGATCGGTAAGCAATGAGAAATTGCCGCTACTTCGATCTAATTCTCGCTTAGGCTTTGCTTAGCTTAGATAGACGTGTTCGTTCGTCCATAATAACGGTACAAGAATATCGACTCCAGTATGCGACAAGGAAACTGGAAATCGGAAGGTGACAACACAACAACCTGACTTATTCATTGACTCAAACTGATCTTAAACTTCTTCTTCTATATAATATCTTTTAATTTTGAATAAAAATTAATTAAAGAGATGTGTGATAAGAATAAAAATAAAATAATTATATTTCAAATGAAAATTTATCAATAACGATGCACACATATTACAGCTATTTTCATTATTTTTATTGATAAATTTCTTCCTATGAAAAAAAAAAGAAAAGAAAAAAATCGTTTATTATATACCGAGAGAACTATAAATCAAAAGATCGATTTTGATAAAACCTGTTCAACGAAACTTGGCCAAGGTCTACGAGAATTTGTTCAGAGGTCTGGGCCACATTTCTTCTTCTTCTTCTTCTTACTTTATCTCACGAATCTTTTCTCGACAAAAAAGAAAAAACAATGTATTGGTTCGTTCGTTCGTTCGTTCGTTCGTTCGTATGTACATGCACATACATAGACACACATAACACGCATAAATGCGTCCTTATATACACGCGTACAAAATCCCGTTATATTCATCGGAAGAGCAGAACAGTTCATTACAGTCGTCCTACGTTTACATATATGTACATAAGTAAATGCTTACAAAGATGAGAATGAGTATGAGTGAAAGAGAAGCAAGGAAAATACATCAGAATGTTTGAATTTAGTAATCTAGCAAAGAATAATTTGACAAATTCATGGAAATATTCGAGTGGCATGCTAATTGACAACCTTACTTTACCCAACCGCTGACCTAATTCCTTTCACACTATCCTTTTTCCATTTCTCTCTCTCTCTCTTTCTCTCTCCCTTTTTATTTTTTTTATTTTTTTTACTTTTTATTAATCGTCAATGAGAACATTAATGTTATTAATATTATTCTTACAATATTTTTCTAGCTTTACATTTTATTTAAAATAACACAGTATTAATTGTGTCATATTAATTTTATTCTATTTTTTCTTCTTCTATCAGTTATTTCAAATTAATTTCATTCAAATTAATTCATTCACATTAATTATTCAATTAATTCATTCATTCACATTAATTTTCAATTCAAATTAATTTAATGAATATATCAATGTTCGATATTTGCAAATTATGTTAAAATCTTTTATTTTAAAGAATCCTAAACTGGCACATAAAAACACACACAATGAATCAAATTTACTGTTATAAAATATGAAATGTCGAACATATGAGAGAATAGGGACTCACGTAACACGCGTTATTTCTTTTCTGGGTGACCGTCTGACGTTAATGAAAAAAAAAAAAAATTAAATTTTTTTCTTATTATTTAATTACATTCAACGTGCCGCTCTGATTTTTTTTTTCAGACACAACCGTTAAGTCGATACATTTACGCGCGTGTGAATCAACGCCGTCATTAACTCTTTTCTGCACTTACTAAGTTAGTTGATTTTTAAAATTAATGATTTTTTAAACGTCGGAACGTATAGTCAAACGATTATGAGTTACACTGAATGAATTAATTTTTTTTTTTTTTAATTAAACAAATTTCATTTTAATTAAAATACTTAATATTTCTATAATTAAATTCATTTCTATATAAATAATAATAATAATAATAATAATAATAATAAAAATAAAAACATTTCAACTAAATTAATGTATCGCAAGAAAGACACAAGATGTTGTTGTACACGATTATTTAAATCGAATTAAAAAGATTCTTTAAACGCTTTAAACACTCATTTCCTTTCATTCTCTCCCTTGTAAGCGTGTACAAAGGCACCGTAAGTGTTCACGCGTGAGTACACGGAAGTCACTTTCCTTCAAAGTGTTCCGTTTCACTTCAACATTCTCTAGTTTCACGTTCCTGGTATCGTTTACAACTAAAGTAAGTAAAACAAAATTCCTAATTGTTAATTCGATCATTGAACTATGCTAAAATGAAATTCTAATTAAAATCCTTCATTTACTTTTATACCAAACACATTTTATGAATATTTACATTTTGCAATTATTATTTGTCATTTGATTACAAATAATAATAATAATTATGATAAAAAGATAATAGAAAAATTAATGAGAAGATAATATCTGCTAAAAAAATTCATGTTGATTTATAAATTTATTTTTTTCTGATAAAAACGATATGAAAAATGTAGCAAGTTTGAATCGTCCAGGTGCAAAAAAAAAAATATCTGAAAATTTATCTAAATTAACCCTTTGAGTGCTGAATACTTTTACCTACAATAAAATAATAATAATTATTATTTTATATTATTTTTTTTATATTATTTATTTTATTTTCTTTTATTTTTTATATTATAATATAATATAAACATATTAAATTACAATAAATATATTTAATATATTAATTTATTATATATTCTAATAATATATTATATTTAATAATTAAAGATTTTCTTTCTGATTACCAAACGCATATATGCGTCTATAGCACTCTAAGGATTAATATACTTATAAAATCAAAAAGTACTAAATGTAATAAACATTTGTCTACTTAATTAAATCTATTGAATTAATTTTTTTGGAAATACCAATAAAACATGCAAATATGTATACATTTTGTTTATCTTATCAGGACACTTTTAGCATAGTCAAGAAAAAGAATCTATAATAGAGAAAGAGAGAAAGACACACACACACACACACACACACACACACAAACAGGTGTCGGTGATTCGAAAATTCTTCCGAGTTCATTGGCCGTTCGTCAATAAGGAACATAAGAGGAGAAGAACGTGAACAGGTGTCCATATAAACGTTATACGTTCACGTTTATGTTTAACCTGTCCGCAGGTTAGTTTTATTTTTCTTTCTCTTTTTTTTCTAATATTTTATTTATTTTTATCTGTACAATCTACGCGTGCATCTTTCATGAAACTGCACTCGAGCGAGTGCACTCCAACACTCGGAGAAAGCACAGTTCGGTCGCATCACTTGATTATTGGATCTGGGTGACCCGATTAGTTTAGCCTCGAGATATTTTTTCTTTTTTTTTTTTTTTTTGAATTAACATCGTGTCTTGAATAACTATGATTCCAAAAATCTTATCGATAAGAAAGATAAGAAGAAAAACAAAAATACAAAATATATGTATAATATATAATAAAACTTAAATATCAATTGAAACGATAATATCGGATTAAAATGTAAGAACGTATTTAATTGAAAAATAAAATGAATGTTTCAATATTGCTGTTAACATAAAAGAAAAAACAATAATTTCTAAATTGATAAAAGGAAAAAAGAAAATATTTTCTTTGAACTATTATCACAAAGGAATCTAAGAAAATTGCAAAATGAAAGGTCACGTAGTGACGAGGAAACAAATGTTATGTGAAAAATTCTACTTTTCTCTCACAAATATGTGAAAAATAAAATAAAATAAAATAAAATACAATGGTAGAGGAATGATACTACAGAATAAAAGAAAAATAAGAAAAAAAAAAAACGCGTGTCATTCCAGGAGTAACCGAGCACGATCTTTTTGTCGTTAACGTTTCTTTCAACCAATTCTACCCTCATTTTTCCATTCTTTTTTCTTTTTCGCAAAGGAATGATCGTCCATAGAGAAACTTGCTGTTCCATTAGCCGATGTTCTTCTTCTTCGTACATCGATCGACCTCGTTTCCTTCGTAAAGGAGTCACAATCATTCTTCTTCCGTTCAATTTGCAAATTCTGTTTTAGTTGAAACATTGAAAAGAAGGAAGGAAGGAAGGAAGGAAGGAAGAAAGGAATCCAATCGTCAGCGGATATGATTGTAACAAAAAAAAATTTCTTACTAGGAATTCTAATTATTTATATCTTTGTATGTCAATTATTATATATCGATTTGTCCATCAATTAATTACAATTTATTCTATTATGTGTAATAATTTAATTAATATATTTTATATAATTATATATAATTTAATTATTACATATTATATACATTTAATAATAATAATAATAAAACAAGCAAACTAATTAACCGAGTCAATTAACCATTTTTGGCAAAATTTTCACATATAACAAATAATCAACTAATCCTAATAATTGTTCAAAATATTTAATTATATTCACCGACGAATATTTGTAATTTAAATTGTGAAAATTCCAAAATATAACGTTCGAAATAATAATAATAATAATAATAATAAAATAATGGAATAAAATCGATGAACAAAAAAAAAACCAATCATAATAAAATTTAATAGACACCACTCTCACGAAAGGGACACACTTTGGTTCTTCTTTTGCTTTCACTGGAAGATTTAACGACACATTACGAGCTCCGATCGTTCGTGCAAGACCGATCGGCATTCGCCTAAGTTTGTTCGACTTCAATGCACCGAACTAAACGTGCACGAAAGAAAGAAAGAAAGAAAGAAAGAGAGAGAGAAAGATCGCATTCCTTCTTCTCTCTTGTCATGAAAGTGATAGTACGTGGATGATCATACAGTCCAAACAAACCTTTTCTCTTCTTATCGAGGCCAAAGGAGAAAGAAGAAGAAGAAGAAGAAGAAGAAGAAGAAGAAGAAGAAGAAGAAGAAGAAGAAGAAGAAGAAGAAGAAGAAGAAGATAAAGATACTAAAAATAATTTTATGGTTGTCTGTCTAGGGTCATAGGTGAAAAGTGCACACACGCGATTTTTCACTAATTTCATTAACATTGAATAAAATTATCTTTCAAAACACGTTTTTCATTCATATGAATTATGCATTATTCTTGTTAATTTTGAAAAAAAAAAACAAACAAATGTTATCTATGCTATTTATATTTCATAGTTATGTCAAGTTTTTTTTATTTATCGAGGTCAAAGGAAAAATACAAAAAATAAACAAGAATATGGAGTAAAGAGAAAAATGCAAGGAAGTTGTTTTTTTTTTTTTGTCAAAGAGTTCACAGGTGACAGACCAAACCCGTACAAGGTTATTTTGCTTTGTTAATTTAATTAATCTCGAACATAAGCTATTGTGTTGTATATTTTCTTTCGATTATTCTGCAAATATTGAACTCACGTTCGTGTAATAATTACAATTATTTACACAATTCCCATTTAACAATAGGAATTTTAGATCAACTTGTAATTATCATTGAATATTAATTAACGTCAAATTGAAATGATAAATGATTAAACATACATTTGATACGTTCAAATACAAAATTGGAATTCGTATAACAAATAAGTATAACCCGTTAGTCAGTTTAATATTCGATACACTAACGAACCTAAATTGGAACTAGTACACTCACACACATACACACACACAATTCACTAACATAAAAGTTTAACGTGAACAAAAATTCATTAAATTTTTATTAACAATTTCAAACAATTGTAAAATTTACTATCATATTCCTAGTCCTGATATTTGAACAATATCTTACAGTTAACACATTTCCAAGACATTTACAAATACTAACAACATTTTTTACTCGGTAACAGAAAAGATGTCAAATACTCATAAGTCTACGGTTATGTCGTTTTAAAATGGAGTTATGTAAACTCAAAGGTGTACCTAAAGTACACAGATCCTTTCAAGAAACTAACGTTTCTCACGAGACTCGAAAAATAGGTGAGAAATTTCGTTCCAACGTGTTAATTATCCTTTCTTTCTTTCTTTTTTTTTTTATTACTTATTCTCATTTAACGAATGAGATATTTCAAACAAGTCACATACATAATTCTATAGACACTGTGGTGTTGGTGATAGAAAAGAAAAATAAAAAAAACAATTTGAACAGACTAAACACACACATGGTTTTCTATATTTAAATAATTCAATTTTAATACAAAAAATCTAGCAGACTAAACTCACATGGTTTTCTATGTTTAAATAATTCATTTTGAACATAAACGAGTAAAAATAGTACGTGAACGAACGATCAATTGTTATGTAATTTAAATTATACATTTTTGAGTTGTTAAAAAATTATGCTAGATGACAGATACGAGTATTGAGATAATTTTCTTTAAAATCAATTGTTCGAGTTTAAATAGAAAAAATTCAGAAGAAGATGAAGATGAAGATGAAGATGAAGATGAAGATGAAGATGAAGAATACAAAAGAAAAATTAATAATATGAATAGCAATGAAGCATGCCAAATGATTTCTACCATGGAAACCTCAGATCGGAACACCTCGTTTTATTACGGGCCAAAGTCGGAAAGGTAGCTTTCACCTGGCTTCATGACGATCAACCTGGCCCCCCTACCAACGATCGCATCGATTCCCGATCGCGTCCTGGTTTCGTTAAACGACCAGACGATTCTTCCATCACTTTTTTTTCCTCCTTCATCTTTGATTCAAGTAAAAACAAAGAAAATAAAAAAATAAAAAAAAAAAGATAGAAAAGAAAGAAAGAAAGAAAGAAAGAAAGAAAGAAAGAAAGAAAGAAAGAAAGAAAGAAAGAAAGAAAGGGTACAGCAATCGAATTATCAAAGAAACTAATGATGTAAAATACAATAGAAATGATCGAATCAACGTTAATCACTGAACCCATTTTTAAAGTTTAACGTTTAAATTTGAAACACCAATTGTATTATTTAAATTTATGTCAATTAAATTTGATTATTCACAAAAGTTCGTTTTCTTTTTGTTTATACGTACAAGTGTATATTATTGTGTTGTTCTACTCTAAATTTGTAAACAAAATAACTGACACTTCGAATATTATAATTATTTGAAATAATAAGAAATTTGTTAAAATAAAATAATAATATTTTATCGTTATAAATCTTAGCGATAGAATTAGCAAAAAAATAAGTCACGTTTGAGATTGGAATGCAATAACGTATTATTACGTCTTTGGAACGTTAGGAATGATCATCATTTGAAGTAATAGCGGAAAGATATATTAATGGAACGTTCACTCCGTTGTAATTACGGTGTTCGCGATACTGAAAAGAGCATCAAAAGCGAGCATTCGATGTAAACGAATAGATGTAACAACGATTGGCACGTGTCATACTGTGAATACCGAACAAATGTTATATAATATATACATTGCAAAAAGAACAATAATATTTCACAGAAAAATCGATACACGTTTAAATAATTAATTAAATCCACCTTTGATAGAAATTTTATTATTCGCGTTCAATAAAAGAAAGACAGAAAAAAAAGAAAAATACCAAATGAAAATCGAATGAAGTAAAATATAATATAAGTGATTATTTAAATTATAACGTTCACAAATAGTTTACAATATTTTTTAAATATTACTGTGTGTTAACCTAAGTAAATGTTAGAAAAAAAAAAAGAGAAAAATATGTTCGTTTGTCACACTCACCGTGCAGTGCAATAAACGTTTGCAACTGTCTGCTTTTTAATAACGTTTCATAACGTATGTCTTGTCACTGGTCAAGAAAATCCCTATATCGTGGTTGGTCAGATGAAAGAAAAGGAACCGTGAATAGTTTCTTCTTTTTCTTCTTGATAAAGATCTCAAATGGTTCTTCCTACTCCTCCTCTTTCTTGGTATTTTCCTTTCCTAGTTTGTCAAGGTCACTCCTCTTGGACTCTATCCTCCTCCACCTTGGTTACCTTTGGCACTTCTTCACTCAATTTATTTTCTTTTTCAATTTTTTTTTTTTTTATATATCTATCGTATTCTTTTCTTTCTCTTTCTTTCTTTAATTACTTTTTCCTTGACCAATGGGTCACGTTTACATTAATTTATCGAAGATTTACACGTGAATAGTAATAATAATAATAATAAAAATAAATAAAAGACGTTTATTAATACGATCGAGATACCAGCACCACGATTCGAACAAAAAATTCGATTCGATTTGTCATCGACGATAAAATTTCTTCCTTTTTTCGAAATCAAAGAATGAAAAAGGAAAATCAAAGAGAAAGAGAGAGAGAGAGAGAGAGAGAATGACAAAAATATCGATGAACTTATGACACTGTGCGATGATTAACAAAAAAAACTTGCAGAATAAAAGTAAAAAAAAGGGAAGAAAGAAGGGAAAGAAAGGAAGAAATTTCAAAGAATGAAACAATCTTTGAATGAAAAAATCGGATTTTAGGGTGAAATGATCGTTCACAAGAACACCGGATTAGATTATCGCGCACTGTTGACCATCCGGGCAGTGAACTGGATGGTAACTTGTTCGTTGTACCCCGTGTGCCACGGCATGTGCTGGAATCGCGTGGCAATGTCACGATCGGCGCCTTGGAAAACGCAACTGAGGATGGTGGTGGATAGTAGCAGGCAAGGAGGAATGGTGATGGATGGATTGGTGGTGGTAATGGTGGTGGGTAAAAGGCCCAGAGGAAAGGAAAGGAAAGGAATGGAAAGGAAAAGAAAAACAAGGAGAGGAGAGGAGAGGAGAGGAGAGTGGTGGGATTAAGTTTGTGAACAAAGAAGGGGGAAGGGGATATAAGGGTGGGTGGGGGTAGGTGGTGAGGCGGGGGGGGGCAGGGTAAGGTTTGCTAAAGAAAATATATGAGGAAGAAGAAGACGAGTTGCTTTTTCTTGGAGAAAGGTAGGTAAACGAGAGGAAGAAAGAAAACAGGTAAACTGGGGGGATAGGTAGGAGAAGAAAAGGGAAGTGGGAGAAAGAGAAAGAGAAAGAGAAAGAAAGAGAGCAGGAGAAATCAAAGTGGGCCAGTGGCCAGGTCACATGGTGAGGAACGGGGCTCTTTCAGCGTGCATGACACCGACACACTGTCCTACTCATCGCAACGTCCACGCAACAACCTCCACCTTCCGCATGTATCCAACCATTCAGGAAACGTTTCACTATGCTGCTGCTTATGTTAAACCAACGTCCTTATGTTAAACGCACTGACACTGGTCTGGTCTCTCTTTCTCTCTCTCTTTCTATATCTCTTTCTATATCTTTCTTTTTCTATCCTTAATCGCTTTCGGCTACTCTCGACACCATCTCGAAATTCCTTCTTCGTCAATTCTATTATTATTCGAACGGTGTATCAACCACATTAGTGGTAAACTTTGAAATTTTATTATTTTTATTTATTTTTTTTCTATTTCATTCGCAATGGACTATTACGTATAGTCGTTAAAAAAATATTTTTAATATGTTAGGATCCTATTAAAAGTTTGTTGGTTTTGTTTTACAATAAGTTTTACGTATTTAATGATTTTAATTTAGGTTGCATGCAACGTTCATTCTGTTCTATTATTTTTCTCTATGTTGTATGCAATAAAGTAAAATAATGTTGATGAACAAAATATTGTTCTTGTAAAACTTATTAGTAAAAATGAATAAGCAAGTAACTTTGAAAAGATCTAATCGAATATGCATGTACTAGAAAATTGTTTGAAAAATAACATTGGAGGAGTGGAGGAGGTTTTAAAATTTGAAACAAGTATAATATAAAGTTGTTGCGTATATTATATTATACTTTCTAATTCACGTGCGGTCATACCTTTCTATTTCAACTGAAATTTACGTGATTTCAACGAAAGTTTAACATAAATTATAATATATGGTTTTTTCGTCAGAGAGAAAAATAAAGAAAGAAAGAGAAGAGAAGAGAAATAATTAGATTTATACAATTAATTTATCGAAAAACTAATTTAATTTTTTAACAAACCTAATAGAAATTTAGAACGAATGGAGTCGAATGATAAAATATTGTGAGAGTTTGAACAATATTGAGAACATTGTTGAAAATTTTAATTGGATTTCGGACAACCAAATTTCTCTTCATTTCGGAGTCACATCAGCAAACATTATAGTTGTCGTCGTCGATTTCTTTTAAACTAGATTTGACTTTATCATGACATATATTTATAATACGAAATCATTCATTGTACGTTAATTCGTAGAAATAGCTAATATGCATAATTGCATTCGTGATAACGGGCTTAATGTTTTGTACATTAGCTGCATCATTAGATTAATATTTCACTATAGATAATATTACGTAGATTGTATTTATGTGTTTGCTCATATGCATGTGTGTGTGTGTGTGTGTGTGTATTTGTAAATGGATATGTAGAGTGATTTCATATGGTACAAAAAGGTATATTAACTTTTCAACGCATATTCAAGCAATTTACCTTCAACAATTTTCAATGATAATTTGAAACAGAGAGAGGGAAAGAAAAGAAAGAAAGAAAGAAAGATAGAAAGAGGATAGAAAAAGACCTTTGACATTTAGCTCATATGTTCGTGTTACGGTACTCATGTTTCCTGATACACATATACAAAATGATTTATCGTATAAAAATAAGTTGAATTTTTTCTCAATGTAATGCTTTATTTTTAAGACATATTACTATTTTTAGGATCTATCGATCGTATATATGTGTAACACGTAAGACATAATTTAAATGGTAATCTGTTTTTTCGAATATGAGATATATATTTATTTTTATAAATACAATAAAAATGTAATATACGTAAAACTTTGCTCACACAAATCAAAGGTATCTTTATGATTATGTATATTTTAGGTATATATATATATATCAATGTGTATAAATATATCTATGGAATTTTTATAGAAGCTATTCCCTTTAGTCATAGAAAAGGTCAAAATGAAACTTTAAAAAGTCGATAGGTACTTTATATCCACGCCCTGAAAATAAACGATCTACGCGTGTTGCAGTTTACTTTTTATTTATGCATTGATTATTTTCTCTTTATATTTTTCTCTCTTTTTATTTTTCTTTCTTTTCTTTCTTTTCTTTCTTTAAATTTCTTTCCTTTGCATAGTATAAAAACGTTCTCGTATTTCATTATAAATTAAAGAAAGATACATTTCTTTTATCTTTTTTTCCATTTATTTAACTTCATGATTTTATTTACTAGTTAGTTTTATTATTTTTTTTCTTCGATTAGATAGTTGATAATTTGTCGGCACAGTTTATCTTTCTATCGAATAAAAATCATTCCGAAAGTACTCTATAATTCTCTCCATTCGATCGAGAAAATCACGATTTCCGGATAGCAAGCAAATATGATCAGAAAACAAGGAGAGAAATCTTCAACGTAGATTATTTAAATGTAGATTCACGATATAATAATGATAACGGTCCTACATACTTGTCTCTGTTTCTCTCATAGTTTATTATCCATTCAAATTATTCAAAAAATTAATTTTTAATATATAACATATATCCTTAATTATCTATAATAATAATTCATTAATATTTTCTTCATTTCGAATACAAAAGAATTGAATATTACAAACGATTATGTAAAAAGAAAAAAAAGAAAAGTTTTATTTTACAATAAATATCTATTATTTGATTTAACACGCACAGATGTGCTTTCCATAAACAACATAAAAAAAAAAAAAGAAAAATAATTTACAATAGTAGAAAATTGTAATTTAATCGTAACAACAACAACAACAACAAAAAGTCAGAAAACTTTCTTTATAAACGATAAACGCTTCGCTCTAAAAACTTATGTCAAATCAATCGATCATCACGCTTTGTGTTTTGTTTAAGATCACGGATATAAGATAGGATATGCACGTTATCGATACTTTCTCTGGTTTCGTTTTATCGATGCCACTTTTTATTGTCCACTTTGTATTATCGTCGTTATTTCTACGCCATTGGTTATCCGGTACAAACCGTTGATTTAACAATCTCTGATACGATCAGGTTTAAAACATACATCCCTATCAGCAATGTATCTGTTATCTTGACCGTATATCTTTTAGTTACCTGTTTACCCTTGTCACCTGATCGTCCTAAAGGTACGAAAAAGCCCGCCGGAGGCTGTGCTATGCTGTTCTTGAAGTAGGTCAGTCAGCACCAAAGATGCTGTCTTCTTTTACGGTACTTTACGTTCACCTTATGACTTTTGCCCAAGAACAGAGTTCCATTGGATAATAACATTTTTAGCTAAGAATTTACCTTCTTAACACAAAATTAGGGTTAAATGATACCGATTTATTATTATCATCCTATAACGTGAATTTTATTGTACGTTTTCATTTCCGTTTGCAATAATGATATTATATTATATAGGTCACATACGTTGTTATCTTTATATGTGCGTATGCATCTATGGAATGTGTCGTTCGTTATAAAAGAAAGGTAGAAAAAGATAATTGCAAAATAGAAGTTAAAAATGTTTTATTTGAACTCTACCAGGTGTTTATTACTTTTCTTTTATAAAAGAACTTTACGAATGTTGTTAAAAAATTACGATCAAATATAAAGTGAGAATAACATTATTTCTAGTCGTAATAATTCTCGTAGTCTTCCTCTCTCTCTCCCTCTATTATAAATATTATAAAGTAGATTCACTTGAAAGGATAAATTTTGAGAAAATATAAAAGATTAGATGACGTTGATATCATTTTTTAAAAATTTAAGATTATAAAGTATTTCACAAAATAATAATATTAAATATGAATCAGCGAAAGTGATTGAAAATAATAATCTAAAAAAGAGATCTCAAAATTTAACGATCAAAGAAATTGACCTACTACCGAGAAGTTTCAATCAATCGCATAGAATCACATGAAAGTTCATAAGAAAAGACTAATAAAACTCGGTCGGAGAATCTTCGTGTGTCGTCGTCGGTCAACAACTTCCCAGTTTTCTTGATAAAATGATTTATAGTTATGCGAACATTTAACGAGATAATATAACATAGGTATAATTAATTTGTTAAGGAAACTCTCGCTGCTACTTTAATCGATACAAAGCTAAATCTGTGAAATGTAATAAAATTTATTATTAAAATATTATATATATATATATATATATTTTTTTTTCTTTTCTGTATATCCTATAATAAATTATAAATTAATATATAATATTATGAATATAACGTTATATATTACAATAATTTATTCAATAGACTCATGCAGATACAACATTTCAAACGATAACAAATTAATCTGCGAAATAAACTCAAATTATTTAACGAGACATGTTTTATTGCTAGCATTAAATAATACAAATTAATTAACGAGCTGTAACGATGATAATAATAACAATAATAATAATTATATAATTATTCAATCATATCATATTTTATGATAATTATTATTATGAATATTTTTATGAAAATTATTATTATTATTATAATTTTAACTTTCACTCCCACAAATGATTAAGATAATTTCATCTTTCCAAGGAACACGAACTCACGATGGAAAAGAAGACGATAATACTTCATGGTACCTGGCAAGTACAAGTGCCGCTGACCTTGATCGTGACTCTTTATAAGTGGGACAGTACCTGTGTGCCGCCTCTAACAAATTTTTCTACGTTCGCCGCTTCGGCAAGTGGATACATTGCTTTCTTTTATAGATTCCGCGATCCTTAAAATCGTGACAAAAATACTAAAACTACGACGATGAAAACTTTCTAAATTCGTTTGTACCTAATGATGTCATACTTGATCTTAATCGAACTTGTTTACTAACTTTGTAACTTCTTTCTCCTTTCTTCGATCAAACAACAATTTATTTTTATCTATTTTATTTTATTTTTTTCACTTCAATTCACCTTTTCCCCAAATTCAAAAATTTAATTAATTTCTATTTTACAAAAAAAAAAAGTTACACGAACAAATTACATTTGTTTTTTTTTTCTGATAAATTAAACACGACAATTGACATATACATATAATATGTAATTACTGTTAGAAAAACATTTTGTATCTTTAAATTGTAAAAGAATACACGTTTGTTTTCTATTGCAAACTCTAATATCCATTAAAAATGTAAAACACAGATCTTTAGATTCGAATGTCGGTGACCCAGACGAGAAACACGTACGGAAGTCTTTGGAGAGGAATACCTAATAGGGATAGGTGTCACATGACTATGCCATAAATTGTTGGATGATCGTTAAAGAGTTTAATCCTAGGGAAACATTGGATGCATTTGGGTCGTGAATCCTATAAAAAGAAACTATAGAAGAGACAAATACAATCAATGGTCATGACCCAGGACATCAATTGCAAACTGGGTCAAAATTATCTGTAAGCCCCCTTCGAGTCACGCCCGTCATTTTTCTTTACCGTTGTACGAATCATTCGAATAAATTTTCCCATAAGATTATTTCATTCTTTTATATTTTTATTATTAATAAAAATCGTTTGAAATAATAATAATAATATGTAATCAATATATTATGTAAGTGAAAATTATTATGTAATATTTATATAACCATGGGTATATAAATAAATTTCTCTTATGAAAAATCTAATCGAACAAATTTTCTAATTAAACCTGAAAAATAATTGGTAAATTTAGAATTATAGAAAAAAAAAAGAAGAAAAAGAAACTCTCTTTCATCCCTTTGACCATTCATTCAAGAAACGTGTATTCGCGTCATCGTAGAATTTTCAAGTTCAGACGGTAACCCTCGCAGTCATCCGTAAAAAATTCCTTTAATCGATTTCGTCATTGCTTAAAAGCTAACACCACGAGTTTATTACGTAGAACGATGACGAAAAATATTTCTAACCTTGACATTATAAATGCATTTTTTTCGATAAAATTTATTTACTTATAAAAATGATATTTTTCAAAATCGTTCTAAACATAATAATAATAATAATATAATGATTTTCGATGGAACGACGTTTCCTCTTATTTTCGCATCAACAATTTCAATTGGCCATGACACCAAAGACTACGACGACGACGACGACGAAGGCCAGCAATAGTTTATTACAGCTACTGTGAACAGTTTCGTGACTCCATAAGGAAAAGGCGGAGGTAGCTGGCTTTCTCCAAAGCCACTTGACCCGGTCCAGTAACATCCATCCATGGGTTTGTCACGGTTGTGACATTTTCAACGATTTTTCCACGTGATAAACGAAAAAACAAAAAAGAAAGAAAAAGATTGTTTCGAACATCAGAAGATATGTCTGAGATCTACGTGGGAAAAGTCAAATTTTTTCTATCTTACTAAAGCTACTACTTTCAGTTGTTCTATTAAAAACAACATGTGTGCAGATCACACCGTGTTAGAAGTGAAATCTTCAAAAAACTAAGTTTCGAGAGAATTTTCTTGTGAATCTTCAAGTGCACAAAACCTCCACGTATTAAAATTTGATATTATTTTTGATATATCGAATGATGCAACATAAATATTACTGAACGAACAGCTGTACATTTCGATGCCCTTTACAGAATGATTTTTAATTTTTAATTTTTTTTTTTACATATATATGTTATATTTGAAATAATTAAATTTATATAAATTACGATTTATTATTTACATTATTTCTTAAAAAATGCATCGGAAATCTTAATGTCCAATTTGAGATAAAATATATTTGATAATTCTTATAATTTTCCATGGACATAATTACAGAGTTTCGAATTTTCTATCGATTTCTTGAGTAGTCAAGCATGATACAGCTTATTAGCGTCAATATTAACAGAAAGTATAAAACCATAATCATAGAAAAGTATTGATATATACGGGCAGTACATGGTATTTATCTATAACCCGTATTTATATGCGTCCTCGATTTGACTATTAACTTTTTTCTTTTATTATTTTTCTTTTTTAATTTGCGTTAGAAGAATTTTCATTCTTACAACATAATTCCATAATTTTGTTTCTTTTGACATCGGTATTCTAGAAATGAAAAATTTATACGTAGTTGATTACATGATGTTCGTTTATTTATAATCAGATGGAAGAAACAAAAGAGCAAGCAAATGCAATCCACTTTGATGCGAAAGAGCCTATCATTTTAATATGTTTTACTTTTGCCCGTATAGAAAGTTGACCTAAATATGTTTTTTGAAATAAAGATGTATATTCGTATTTATTAATGTTGAAAATCGTGCTCGTAGAATATCATAAGAAATTATTTTCAATATTAAATATATTTTAATTTAAATTTCAAAATGAATAATATTTCGATTGATTTAATTTTTGTTATTTTCTTAAATATATTTTTTTTTAATTTCATTATTCATTCTCAACGTATGAACAAATTAGAAAAAAGATGTAAAAGAAAAGCTAAAACGAGATACAACTTAACGCATTCATTTTATAATCAATATTCATGAGTCAACATCGTTTGCTCTACGAATTATGGTCGGAAATCTTTTCTTGATCTTTTTCAATAAATAAGTTTTCACGGTTTAGTAGACATTTATATTCTGTTATTAGTCGAAACAACATCTCCAATTATAATCCTAAAAAAAGAAAACTGTCTCTAATATAAAAATATAAACTCATACGAGAAATTATTTTATTAGATTTGACAATAAATGAACGATTCATAATGGCAACAAGGGTATTACGTATTTTCTCATTAATACTTCATTTCGTTATAGGATAAAATGTTGGGCGTGTATACGACAGTTCAATTAACAGTATGCTCACGTATTATTAGGAAAAATATAGAGAAAATACTATGACGTGGAATAATAAGAATATGATATAAAACAGTAAATGTAATTTATTTACAAAATTATGAAAACAAACAGAAGGTTAAAATTAAAATTTATATTATTATGTACATCGTTTTATAAAAAAAAATCCATAGAAATATTTCAATTATTGACAATAAAAATCATTTACCGTAAAGTTTTGCAAACAAAGCTGGCAACACCCACGTTAAGAATTCAAAATGAAATATGAAGAAGTTGGGAACGGGGATTTATAAAGTCGAGGATATTCGGTTAGGAACAGCTTTGGAAAATAAAGGAAATAGAAATATGAACGAGGAAAAGAAAAATAAATTAGAGAAAGATAATAAACGTACTACGAAATAATAAAATAACAACAAGTAGAATCGCGTAATAAGGGAAGGAAAAAACGTGTTTACGAAGTTTTCACACGAGTATTATAAAAATATTCTATTCGAGAAGAATTATTGCATATAAATCGAGTTCAATGAAGCGCGTAACAATCAGTTCTACGTATGCAAATAAAACCATTATCGGGAGAATAACTTTTCCTCGGATATTTTGAGTATTATAAAATATGCTCGAGCAAATATCATTGCTCATCAATATCCAGATACGTTGCTAAATCATAGATAGATATCGAAGTTTAGATATGAAAAATCATTTTCGATTTATTATTTCGCTGTCACATAACACTTTTCCATTCGATATTGCATTTAGCCCGAAGCGTGTTCGAGTCTATCACTATGTTAAATTTTTTTCCTATTGTTTTTCAATCAAAGGAAGAAAATAACAAATTTTATTAAAAAAAAAAAAAAAATAATAAAGAATATCGTCTAACTTTTCATCCATTTGTATTGCACATTTAACTTCTAATTAAACAAAGAAATAAGAAACAGGATAATTAGGCTCTTATCCTTCGGTCGATATTCGAATAAAGGGCGCCTTTTTGGGGAAAACCGAGACGTCGAGATTCACTTTCGATTAGATGACGTGACGCCACATATCGTAGAAATCATAACTTTCGTTGTAAAATTACATCGCTGTTGGTAGTACAGATAGCTCACTTATCAAACGTTCTTTAGCGATTTCGAAACATAAACGTCAGGTGGCATCCGTACAGGTTTCTCTTGATTATTTTCACAAAAATCTTAGCCGTTAAGCGAATACCTGTGTAAAATCTAGTAGATGTCCATAAGAATAAAATAAAAAACATATATTATGGTACAAATTATATATGATATGTCTGTCTCTCATTTTGTTACTTTAATTATTCAATCCATCATTCCTAATTTTTAATTTATCTTTCCATCATACAAAAGAATATATATATTGGTTAATTTGTTTTTTCTTTTTTTCCTGCACGCAGAAAACTCATATATAATTACCTTTGTTATTATAAATTCGTTTGAACGAGTTATTATCCTGTTACTTCGTTATCAGCAACCAATTCGAAATCTGGCTTCTCGTTTATAACAATTGATTTTGTTTTACCTATCCATTCGATAATAGAGTAGCCTATTATACCGATGCAGAGAATAATCATCAAGATGTGAATTTTTGTATACGTGCACAAGTAAGGACTGTATATGTAAGTTATCACAGAGCCAGTAGATTCCCATAGACGAAAATTGGAATAAGCTGCCTCTTCTCTTCCAGGGAAAAGTAAACCATTTAAAGCTAAGAATAAACGAGTCATTAAAATTTGATTGTACCATCTGCTGACAAAATAGGTATTTTGTTTTTATCTATGAGTTTGAAACGTTTAAATTCAGTTATCTACGATAGATAAAATACACAAAAAATTGGTAAAATCTTACAGTTAATTTGCACCAACCAGATGGAATCACAAATACCCCATAATCCAGAAATGATAAAGAAGAGTATGCCTTGATTAGGAGTCGGTTTCCAGGTCAACATAAAAATTAATATTCCCATGTGTAGGCAAAAGGCAAAGATCATCACAGAAATCCTGCCAGTCAATTTTATAATTGAGCCCGTAGTCAAAGCTGCAATAGCGTTGGAAATACCGAAGCATATCATAACGTATCCAATGTTACTGATCCCCCAAGCGCAAGACACGAAAGACTGAAAATAAGAAACAAAGTAGCAAAAATGATGCCGAGGTGTATACTTGACAACTCACTGCATTATAATCGGCAAAGAGAAAAGCTTGTTCCGCTCCGATGAAAATTATTATGGGCAAGATTAAAAGCTGATTTTTTTCTTTCAACAAACTCAACGTAACCGCCAAGAGTTTTAATCCTGTTAATCCTGTACCGGAACCCTTTCTACCTCTGTCATATCTACAAAAAAAAAAAAAGACCAACAATACGCGAGAAGAAAAGAGAAATAGTTCTAATAATTCAATGGAGTTTGAAGAAAGATTGATGACAAAACAAAAGTTATCAGTGAATAAAGAGAAAAGATACAATAGATATAGAAAAACTAGGCATTAAGAAGAAGAAAAAAGTTGTTCGTTACGATCCAACAGTAATATCGTTGGTGTGTATTACCTAGACAATGAATCAACCCCAAAGACTATAACCAAAGAAGCCAATATCATAAGGGCAACATAAATTCCTGATATCAAGTGGATCCTCTCTATCGGTGGTTGCTCCAGATTTGGATTGTCGTTGGTAGACGGAGATGCGACACAAAAATTGGCTCCGCAAATCTCAGCAACAATAGTACTGTTCAATGACATGTTCGTTGATATCATTTCATTCTTTCCAAAAGATAGAACTGTAATAAAGAAAATGAAAAAAGAAGAAAAAAAGAGAGAACAAAAACAAAATACGAAGAGATCTATCTCGTTCTATTAATTGTCTTCCTTTTCTTGAATTTATTCTATCAGAATTATTCAACCATACTAAAGAAACGTGTTCGCTTAATAAAATTAAAATGAAAGATAAATGCCATTACAAACTGAAAATTTACGATTCGTAATCGATAATTAAATATGCGATACTAAAACGATTGCTCGTTTATTCAAACATGATTGCACTTTTAATCAAGGCTATTCTCTCACAATCTGGTCATTAACGTAATTGCTAATGCGATTACATATGTACTCCTTATATTACGTTTAAACGTGTTTTATTACTGAATGAGTTTACTCACCAGCAGAAGAAAGGTCAAGAATTACGAGCAGTCAATGTAAACAATGTGAACAAGAAGAAAAAGAAGAGAAAAAAGTACAAATTACGACTCTTAAAAATGTATATGTAAGAGATACTCGGTGTAAAAATTAAATAAATAAATAAATATACGTATTTACCTGCCGATGAGATAAGATTGCCCCATACTTGTGCCATCTGATAAAACATAAAGAATAGACCAAAGAATCTAGTGACCAAAACATCGGATGCTAGATCAGATATAGTAGCATAAGCTTCGGACACGACAGTAAGATAAGTGCACTTGGCGCACCAGAGTGGTCCACCACCAAGTCCTACCATCAGTCCTGCTGGGATCATCGTGTAAAATCTTGGATAAAATTGAGCTGCTATGAATGGCACGTAGGTCAGAATAGCTAGAGACATTGTCCACTTGCAACCAAACCAACTGGAAAGATAAGCATACTACTGCTATCGCAAATAAATGTAGAGAAAGACGGAAGTAAGGATAACGAGTTAGGGAAAATGTAATCTCCTAATAATAAAGTTTATTTTCAAACGAACAAATTTTCTTGTAATAAAAAGGGAAAAAAAGAAGAAGTTAAAACAAAAGGAAAAATTTGAGAGGAAAATTTGACGACAATTCGATATCATCTTAATTACCAGAAGATCATTCGAACGATAAAAAATTTTTCAAGAGGTCGTAAAAGGTCTTATTCTTGAGCTATTGTACTTGGGAATAATTGAGACAGGAGAAAGGAAGAAAAGGGATGGAGAGAAAAAGAAAGAGAGAAGTTTGTGAAAGAGGTAAAAGGGAATAGTTTGAAAACGAACGAATATTATCTTTTATCTTGAACGAGCAAGTCGGTTGGTTGATAGCTTACAGATGCTGATGCCACCGTTAGTTTCGTCAAGGAGAAGAAAGGATGATAGGCAAAGTTATGGAAGATTTTATAGACGTTCCTTCGTTTAGTTCACCGAATACTAAAGTCGATCGTTTCGATCCTTCTTAAGGTTCTTCTAAATCCACATAAAATCGCTCTAGCAATAACAAGAGCTTTTTATTTGAAAAATATCTTTCTACGCGAAAGATGATCGATATTTCAGAGTATTATCTTTTAAAATACGTCTCTGTATGTTTCGTCTGGCTTAGTGCCAACTACTATTTACGAAATAAAGGATAAGAGAATATGTGACAAGATTACGTAGTATCTTCTTATCATTTTCTCACCTTATCACCAAGGCCGGAAGGAAGATGTTGCTAAATATTAAACTTCCGTAGATTGCTGCTAGGGTGAACGTGCCCAGAGATTCGCTAGAATTTATGGAACTTTGGAGATTCGTTGCACCCATAAAAGCAGTAAAATTCATCATAAATGCAATTCCTATTAATAATATGTTTTTTATAATACGCCATCTTTCCGTTGGCTTAAAACTGGCTCTTTCGGTTTGCACTTTGACGAATTGTCCGCTGGTGGTATTATGATTCTTCTCCGTCGTCATGATGATAATTAAATTGTTATTAAATTATACAATTTTCTATGAGTACATCAAAATCCTTTTTACTAAATTCATTTCATTTATAAATCTCCTTGTTAGATACCACGCGTGGAATTTTATCCGTGCATGTAATGTTATCCGTGCGAATAACAAATATTTTCTCATAAAATGCAAATAGAAATCATTCTGTTGGGTTATCTGTCGAAACAATAATTTTTTTTTAACATCGTTAGTATGCAATTAAGTAATTACTATGTTTGCTGATATAATTAAATTGCAAATTAATTATAGAAAAAATCAAATGTTTTTCCTCAATTAAATACACGAACGAGCAAATATCACGAAACATTTGTATTCAATGGTATTCCTTTATAATCATAAAGTGTGCAATAATTGGGCAATATTTCACAATCAGAGTTTAATCTGAGATAAAAGCAGATATGTGTGAAATCATACTTCTACACGTATAATATATATTATATACACACATATCTATATACCCATGCACACACATTGCTACTACCAACGAAATTGATACTTCAGTGTATCCAATAACGAGAGGCATTATCGTATTTGCGTCGGAAATCTCTCGTGAATTATAATTCCCATCGTTATATACGATAGATGAAGATACGTTTAGAAGGAATAGACCATGATGCTCAATAATCATTTCATTCATGGTAATGATAATAAAAAAACAGTAGGAAGATATACGATAAGAATAATATTCTTTAATGGAAATTAATTTTATCATAGGTAAATAATTTCGAACATTTCAATTCGATAAAAACTTACACACGTAAACGTTCGCTTCACGATTTTATACTATTTCATCCAACTTTTTTTTCGTTTTTTTCTTGAATACAAATATTAAGTAATTTGGAAATCATTCAGAACTATTGAATTCATCTAGACAGAACCGATATCTATATTTCCAACGAAAACGAATGAGAAATAATATTTATCTTCAATTCATTTCTAAATTAGCACGAGAACTTATAAACGTTCTTCGTAATATCGTTTTGATTGCACCTATAGAATATTGGATTTCAACGAGTAGTATCGAACGTTGTTGAAAACTTGTTCTTAATCGTTATCGGTAACTGTTTTGTCCTTGAGAACTAACATGTGTGAATACTTGGGCTGCATAACTGAATATATAAACAACTCCTTTCTATTTGGTACAAAACATACTAGATTGTCGTTGTTTTTTATACATAATCTTTGATATACAAAAAAAAATTGGACCACATTTCGAATTTATCGATCTAAACTTACTGTCAACATTTATTGTATTAATTTTGTCAACATTATTTATATCAAACAAAAAAACTGCAAATTTCCTTAAAAAATTAACGAAATAAATGTAATGCAAGCTTGGAAAAGTAACGCTTAATGATTGAAAGTGATTTTATGCATTACTCGTCGTGATCGAAATTAGCTTTTAAATGAAACACCGAATCGCAATTAACAAATTTCATTAATACGTACGTGTACGTACATTTATATTATAAATATACTACTACTTTAATGAATAAAAAGATGAAATAGTGTCAGAATCGATAGCAAAAGTTAGTTTATTTAACAAATAAGTATGTAGAAGGAATATAAATCATTTTGGAATAATAATCCAACGAAATAATGATTGAATATTACTGCAGATATAATTATGGATAAATTTTATTCTAAATAACGAAGTACTTTGACATTAACATAACTAGATATTGAGAAAGAGGAAAATGTCGACATCACGTCACTTCTTTCGACTAATTCGTATAAATAAAAATTGATATTCTTTTTTTTTCCTTTTTTTTTCTTTTTACAGAATGTACTGCTATATCTATATCCACTGTATTTTTAGTCGTGAACAATAAATTTTCTTTAACAACACCTGTGTTAATTCCTATCATTGAAGAAATCGATTCTTACAAGACCACCGAGAAGATTATTCTAAACGAATTCAATAGTTTCACATAATTTTATACTCATTAATAAATATTATTCAATATAACAACAAGAATATTATAAAAAATATATAATTATAATATATTATACTTACAAGGTGAAAAATTATGATTTTAATAGAGGATTAAAAAAAAATGGTGATACAAAAATAAAATTTTGACGATTGAACGTATTCATTCCGATTTTTCCATTATTATGCCTCCCTCACACTTGTTTCTTATAATATATTATGTCTGTTGTTTTTACGTTGTTGATTTTCTTACTTTACTTTGGCACGTATTATACTTAGTGGTTTGGCCACACAGAGGACACGATTGAAAATGATACTGAAGCGATCGGGAAGGCGAAAGGCGATGATCGTTGCCAGCGTTATTGTCCCCACCATGAATCAGTCCTCACCTTTAACGATACTACTTAACCGCCTTAGTTTTACCTGCGGACGATGATAATTTCATCTGATTGGCAACTCCTACACATTATTTTCCTCCTATCATTGTCTTTGACCAGTTAATCAAATATTCACATATTTTTTCCCCTAGCATATTGCGATAATCGAAAGAAAAATACAGAATCGAGTTTTATTTATCTACGTAAAACGCATAACCGATGCAAGCTTAATGAATCTAATTAAATAACTATTTTGTTCAAACAGTAAAATATTTTATTAAATAAATAAGAAGAAAATATACTATACCATACTATATCCAAATTGATTTTACTTTCTACAAAATAATTATATAAATAAAAAGTTTAGGTTAAACAATTTTAATTTTACTCTCTACTAGATAATTTCAGAAATAAAAAGTTTGAGTGAAAATATTTTAATTAAAAAAGAATCGGGAATATAAAGTTGGAAAAAACGTTTAGTTTATTGGGATGTGACGGCTTGCTTGAATGTGGTTTTTTTTTTCTCTATTTCTAACTAGCTGAAATTTGCAAATGCGAATATCTGTAGATTTAATATATATAGTACATATAAAATAGAACAATAAATTAATTAAAATTTTATATGCCTCTCACCTCCGTTAAGATAATTGTTGGCAATAACGAAACTGGTGAGAACGATTGCATGATTGTCACGCGCCAATACGTTTTTCATTTATAAAATACGAAAGGGATTAATAAATTTATTTAAATAGAACGACTATTCATAGTTTTTATATTGATAAATATCGTTGATACGATTTTCTATTTCTGCTAAATATTGCTCATGATCAATCGATTTTATAATACTTTATCGAAAAAAATTACATTATTTTTCTTGAATTTTTTTCTAAGATATCTGAATATTCTTCAACGATACTCGTCATTTATTATTTTATTGTAAATTCTAATTTGTAAGTTTCAATATTATATTACATTATTATCATATCTATCGAATATTTCAAAGTCGAAATGATCAAATACTTTGATAAATGGTTTGAAAAATTAGCTTTCTAGCAAATATTTTCTTCGATTTCAGAAGCACAATTCTGTTTTACCTTTGGTTACTTTTATAATGGTTAACATAAATCATACGATTTTTTTTTCTCAACTTCTACTTTTTCTTCTTTTTCTTCTTCTTCCTCTTCTATATTTTTCTTTATTCCTATCTCTCCGTACGCGTATACCGAGGTACTTACGGAATACTGTCGGTATTTGTAATAAATCTTAAGCTGCTTTGTTATCATCTATGATTTCAATTCCGTAGCTTACGTGTTTTCCTCAAAATGCATTTAAATATTCTCGATGATATATTCCAACAGACTTATTTCCTCATTGTTTTTTTGTCTTTTTAATATAATCAAATTTAGAATATTGAAAGATACAATAAAATTAATTTACAATTTAATTACATATTTCATCCTTTATGTATTCCGTTGTATATTGAAAGAATGGAAAGAATGAAAAGATTGAAAGATTAAAAGTTGCAAAATTAAACTTGTATGCAAATACTTGTTAGAGAGTTACTTTTTAAAAGTATTGAACATAAAAATATAAATTATATGCGTAGGTTAAATAAAAAAAGAATTGAATTATATAAAAATAAGACATATAAAATATTTTTCAATTTGGTCGTAAGAATTTGTAAAAATGTAAGACGATGAAAAAGGAGCTTTACTTGTTGCTGCCAACGTGCTGCTCTCCTTTTCATGCATGAATATATTCGCGAAAAATATTTCTCCTTGCTCGAGATAAAGTTGAGCAAAAGAGGTAAGGGAAAACGAAGAAGTCACAAAATGCATCCTCCTTTCACTTTTTCCATTTTTAGTTTTTTTTCCTATTCTTTTTCTCTTTTTCTCTTTTTCTCTTTTCCTCTTTCTTTCTTTCAACCTTCTTTCATGTTCACGAATCCACGCTTAGGTAAGCTTTGCAAGGAGAACTTACGAATAAAGAACTTCACGTTTCTAGATGCAGTCAGTATTTGGAAAGAATGCTTACTGTACTATGAACATATATATGGAGCACCCAAAAAAAGTTATGAATTTTTCAAAAATCAAAATATATACATAAATACATCATGGAATTATATTTTATAATATAAAAGTAAATTTAAAGAAAAGATAGAATAACAAATTTTATGTTTCGTTTGAAAGCCTGCTTCCAAAATAATTAAAAGTTTTTAGTCTTGAGCAATTATTTCTATCATAAATTATATAATGTTCTCTAGTTTAAC